CAACATTTACTGACCTGCACTGTCCAATATAGTGGTCATTAGCCACATGCAGCTGTGTTAGCTTATGAGAACTTATTAGAAGCAAAACAAAAAATTCAGTTTCAAGGTTGCACTAATCACATTTCAAGTGCTCAATACCCATCTGTAAAAGTTCTATTGGACAGCACTCTTTCAGACAGTTGAGGTAGTGATGGTCGCCACAAAAATGAAAAATCTGAGTTCCTGACCTTGAGGAGTACACAATCTTAGGGAGGAAAATAAAACACCCAGCATTATTTATTAAGAGTAATACACACTGAGCCCTTGCCGTAAAATTGTCACTTTGCTAAGCCCTTTCAGAAGTGACCCTTTAGCTGCATCCTCCTAACACCATGAAATAGGTGCTGTTATTATGCTTACTCTACTGACAGGATGAGATGCAAGTACACTTCACTTTATTGTGGGTTTGATTGTGGGTTTCATTTGTCTTCGCTCTGAGGGATAAGGATACGAGGCTTATGGAAGCTTCCTGATGGGAGAAACAGACTGTGGGGGAAACTGGGTCTTGTACTTATGGGTGGGGCCATGCTCAGTAAATCTTCACTGCTCTTTGAAGCTATAGTTTTTCTTTATTACAAGCTGAAGATTTGTGGCAATCCCACCCACGTCAGCTTGTGTCTGCGTCACATTTTGGGAATTCTCACGATATTTCTAACTTTTTCTTTATTTTGGATTTGTCATGGTGATATGTGCTCTTCGACATTAGTATTGCAAAAAGACCATAACTCATGGAATATTCAGATGACGGTGACAGCACTTTTTTTAGCAATAAAGTATTTCTATTTCTGGCCATCCTGGCTTGTGGGATTTTAGTTTCCCTACCAGGATTGAACCCGGGCCCTCTGCAGTGAAAGCCTGGAGTCCTAACCATTGGATCACCAGGGAACTCCCCAGAAATAAACTACTTTAAATTATGGCATATACAGAGTTTCTTAGACACAATGCTATCATGCACTTAATAGACTACAGGATTGTGTAAACGAACTTTTATGGGTACTAGGAAGCCAAAAAATCCCTGTGAGTCCATTTATTGCTGTGGTCTGAAATCCACAGTATACCTGGAAGTATGCCAGGTATACCTAACTTGTCCAAGGTGTGTGAAGAGCAGCAAGACCAAGGGTACATTGCAGGCCAACAAAGGAAGGTGAGCTAAACGCCATTTGGGGATTTTAAGGAAGGTTAGAAGCAGACAGGGCTTCCCTCATAACTCAGTCGGTAAAGAATCTGACTGCAATGCAGGAGATCTGGGTTCGATTCCTGGGTTGGGAAAATCCCCTAGAGAAGGAAATTGAAACCCACTCTAGTATTATTGCCTGGAAAACCCCATGGACAGAGGAGCCTGGCGGGCTACAGCCCATGGGGTGGCGAGAGCAGGACACGACTTAGCGACTAAACCACCACAGAAGCAGAGAAGAACTAAAGCCAACTCTGTCTAGACCGTGGCTGCTCAACACGTGGGCCACAGACTATCTACATCCGAATTACCTGGGGTGTTCCTTAAAAGTGCAAACCCCTCCACCCCATTAGAAGCCCTGTGGGCAGGGCCTGGGAATCTACGTTTTAAACAAGCTTCCTGTCTCCATCTCAGTGCTTCTTTCCTGCTCACTAAAGGAGGTTTTATTCTTTCTAGAGTTTTTTCTCCACTCTTCTCCAGTAGTATATTGGGCACCTATTGACCTGGGGAGTTCATCTTTCAGTGCCATATCTTTTTGCCTTTTCATACTGTTCATGAGGTTCTTAAGGCAAGAATACTGAAGTGGTTTGCCATGCCCTTCTCCACTGGACCACATTTTGCCAGAACTCTCCACCATGACCCATCTGTCTTGGGTGGCCCTACATGGCATGGCTCATAGTTTCATTGAGTTAGACAAGGCTGTGGTCCATGGGATCAGTTTGATTAGTTTTCTGTGATTGTGGGTTTCATTCTGTCTTCCCTCTGAGATATAAGGATACAAGGCTTATGGAAGCTTCCTGATGGGAGAGACTGACTGTTGGGGGAAACTGGGTCTTGTACTTATGAGTGGGACTATGCTCAGTAAATCTTTAATCCAATTTTCTGGTGCTGGGAGGGGCTGTGTTCTCTCCCTGTTGTTTGATCTGAGGCCAAACTATGGTGGAGGTAATGAATAATGGCAACCTCCTTCATTGCTGTAAAGAACAATACTGCATAGGAACCTGGAATGCTAGGTCCATGAATCAAGGTAAACTGGAAACGGTCAAACAGGAGATGGCAAGAGTGAACGGTGAACACTGACATTTTAGGAATCAGTGAAATAAAATGGACTGAAATGGGCGAATTTAACTCAGACGACCATTATATCTATTACTGTGGGCAAGAATACCTTAGACGAAATGGAGTAGCATTCATAGTAAACAAAAGAGTTCAAAATGCAATTCTTGGCTGCAATCTCAAAAATGACAGATTGATCTCTGTTCGTTTCCAAGGCAAGCCTTCAATATCACAGTAATCCAAGTCTATGCCCCAACCAGTAATGCTAAAGTTGAATGGTTCTATGAAGACCTACAAGACCTTTTAGAACTGACACCCAAAAAAGATGTCCTTTTCATTATAGAAGACTGGAATGCAAAAGTAGGAAGTCAAGAGATACCTGGAGTAACAGGCAAATTTGGCCTTGGAGTACAAAATGAAGTAAAGAAAGGCTAACAGAGTTTTGCCAACAGAACGCATGGGTCATAGCAACCATCTGCTTCCAACAACACAAGAGACAACTCTACACATGGACATCACCAGATGGTCAACACCAAAATCAGACTGAATCTATTACTTGCCGCCAAAGATGGGGAAGCTCTATATAGTCAGCAAAAGCAAGAATGGGAGCTGACTGTGTCTCAGATCATGAACTCCTTATTGCCAAATTCAGACTGAAATTGAAGAAATTAGGGAAAACCACTAGACCACTCAGGTAAGACCTAAATCAAATCCCTTACAATTATACAGTGGACGTAACAAATAGATTCAAGGGATTAGATCTGATAGACAGTGTGCCTGAAGAACTATGGATGGAGGTTCGTGACATTATACAGGAGCCAGGGATCAAGACCATCCCCAAGAAAAAGAAATGTAAAAAAGCAAAATGGCTGTCTAACCAGGACTTAAAAATAACTGAGAAAAAAAGAGAAGCGAAAGGCAAAGGAGAAAAGGAAAGATATATCCATTTGAATGCAAAGTTCCAAAGGATAGCAAAGAGAGATAAGAAAGCCTTCCTCGGTGATCAGTGCAAAGAAATAGAGGAAAATAACAGAATGGGAAAGACTAGAGATCTCTTCAAGAAAATTAGAGATGCCAAGGGAACATTTCACGCAAAGATGGGCTCAATAAAGGACAGAAATGGTATGGACCTAACAGAAGCAGAAGATATTAAGAAGAGGTGGCAAGAATACACAGAAGAACTATACAAAAAAGATCTTCACGACCCAGATAATCACGATGNCATTCCAGAACTGTCTCACTAATTCTCTCTTGTCTTCAACATCCTACCAAACAGTGAGTTTTCATTTTTATCTAGTAGTTTTGTTTGGGACTTTCTCAAATCAACTATGTCACTTTTAAAATTTGTGATCTAAAGACTGTTTGCAACCTTTTTTCCTGGTGGCCTCTACTTAAAAAACAAAAGACAGGCTCCCCTGGTGGCTCAGATAGTAAAGAATCTGCCTGTAATGCAGGAGACCCAGATTCAATCCCCAGGTTGGGAAGATCCCCTGGAGAAGGAAATGGCAACCCACTCCATTATTCTTGCCTGGAGAATTCCATGGAGAGAGGAGCCTGGCGTGCTACAGTCCATGGGATCACAAAGAGTCAGACACAACTGAGTGACTTACATTCTCTCCTAACACAAGACCCTACCGTTTACTTGTCAAAAGCAGGGCGATACCTGGTACATCACATCCCTTACTCCTTCCCATGAAGGAATTTCTGCTCAGGGTTAGGCTACTTAGAAAATTAACAAAGTATGCACAAAACTTTAGGTTAGTATGTAATAACTGCAAGGAGATCAAACCAGTCAATCCTAAAGGAAATCAACCCTGAATATTCATTGGAAGGAGTGAGGCTGAAGCTGAAGCTCCAATACTTTGGCCACCTGATGCGAAAAACTGACTCACTGGAAAAGACCCTGATGCTGGGAATGATTGAAGTCAGGAGAAGAAGGGGACGACTGAGGATGAGATGGTTGGATGGCATCACCGACTGGATGGACATGTGCTTCAGCAAGCTCCAGGAGGTGGTGATTGGACAGGGAAGCCTGGCGCGCTGCATTCCACGGGGTCGCCAAGAGTCGGACACGACTGAGCGACTGAACTGAAAGGAGGTTGCAGCATCACTGGTTCACGCCAAGGTCCCATTTATTCCCCTTTCTTTCCCTTGCCTTCAACCTGACTATGGACTTAGGCTGGAGGCTGCGCTACGTAACCTCGGGCCTCTCAAGAGTCTCAGTTTCCCCGCACGTAACATGGGGAGCCCGGCGGGCCCGCGGCGAGGCTGCCTGGAGGCCTCGCACGTCAGCCGCCTGGCGCACAGTAGGCGCCCAGCAAGCGCGGGTCCCGCCGGGCCGCCCGAGTCCCGTCCCTCTCGGCCGGCCCGGGCTGCCTACCCTCGCAGATCTGTTCCCACAGGTTCTTGCTAGGTAGCTCCGAAACCTGCACCGGCGAGACAGGCAGATCGAGGGACTCGGGAGACACTACGGGCACTGGCGTCCTGGCGGTGATGCACGACTCGTTGGAGACTGTCCCTTCCAAGCGCTGGGTGGTGCGGCCCACAGCTCCGGGTGCCGCCATGGCAGCGGTCGTGGCCGCCGTTTCCACGGCAACCGCGGGTCCCAAAAGGCCGCGACCCGGAAGAAACCGTACCTTGCAGGGACGGACCGCCGAGTCGAGATTGACTTCCGGGTCACGGCGGCGCGGGCTCTCACGTGGAGGCGGGGAACATTGGCCTTTGGGTGAGTTGGGAGAGCGCGTCGTAGGCGGGACGGAACCGGGACTGGAGACTGGGTCTGGGGACTTGCGCGACGAGCCGAGGGACCGGACGAGGATGACTTGCACCCTCAGATCCACGTCCCCCTCGTCGCCGGTCTGAGGCGCCATCTTCAGGAAGTTCTCCCGCTTTGGAGCTGGACCTGGGACACGGCGTAATCCCTCCCTCTGTGTGGAAACCTTGGTGCGGTCGGGCGTTTGAGGGGGCCGTCTCCCTTCGCGGCTCCCTTGCTTCCTGTTAGTGAGCCTGCGGTGGGAATTGGGTTTTGGAGCACAGGCTCCAAAGTTCTGCAGGCTGGGTTCGAATCCCAGTTTTATTCCTTGCTGGCTTTGGAACCCAAGGCAAGTGAATTAACGTCTCCAAGTCTCAGTTTGCACGTCTCTGAGATGGGTTATTTACACCGATCCTCACGAGGCTACTGCGAGAATTTAAAAGCGCTTTTGGAGAAAGCATTTTGCGTTCGCAGGAAACGCTGTAAGGTTTATTTCCTCTTCCCTTCTTGAAGGAATGAATACACTTGGGATGTCGGGTTTGAAGGGAAGGCTCTTCTTCACTGCCAAAGAGGACAGTGCTGCAGTGTTTTAAACGGTGGAGCTAGGAAGAGAAAGGGATTAAGTTGGCGACAAACTCCCTTTGACTTCGTTGTTATCAAACCTCTAGACCACTCCTCCACTTGAGGCGCCCTTGACTCCACCCTCCCTGGTTTGGCACCTCTCCCCCTCCTTTGCAGGCCCGTCTTCCTCTGCCCACCCATTTAAACGTTAGTATTCTCTGAGGTTCTGTCTCAGGCTCCTTTGTTCAAAGCTTACATACCATCCATATATTTCTAAATTTATGTCAGCCATATCAGCCCAGTCACCTCCGAGCCTCAGACCCATACAGCCAGCTGTCCACCAACATCTCCCCATGGCTGTCTCAAGGTGTCTGGGGTCGCAGATAGTCAGACAGGACTGAGCGACCGAACTGAACTGAACTATTCCAACCAGCCTGTTGCCTTCAGTCACCCCTCCGCAGTCACCTCACACTTCAGATTTTTTTGTCTCAGGGCTTAGCATTGCCATCCTGTGCTTGCCCAAGCTGGAAACCTCTTCAGAAAGTTTGCTGACGACTGGTAGGCCAGATTTGATGACGTGTCTTACTCTGACCTTCCACTGTGCTTGCTTTTATCACAGGTACCACTGTGAACACAACTCTTTCCCATCCACACCTAGTTGCTTCTTGATGGCAGGGTCATCTTTTGTTCATCTCTGTGTCTCTAGCATCCCTTCCTTCCTTCACTGAGCGTTTATTGAGCACCCATTCTGCTAGGTAGAAAGCTAGGCCCTGGAAATACAGTAGACAGCCAGAGGAAGCCTGTGGTTGATCCCTCAGATCTCCAGGTGCTGTAGGAGCCATTTATGAGTGAACCTGAGCTACAGCTCAGGCCTGGCCTGGCTCTTTGAAATAGCTTAGAGTGAGGCACATCCAGCCTCTGGACTCTGAGGCTGAGGAAAACTGCTGGATGCAGCAGCTCCTGGCCTTTCCTGCCCACTGTCCAAAGCTCCTGTGAGGAGCTGTTTGTTTCTGGATTCCCTGAGTGTCTGCATGTCATCTAGTCCAGGGAGCAGGACCTGGGCTGGTGACTGGAGTGAGAGACTAGTCCACAACTGGAAGCTGAAATGTACTTGAAGGCCCACCTAGCACTTTCTCATAGGCACCTTCAGGACAGCCTCCCTCCAAAAAAGAAAAAAAAAAAACAAAACCCTGAGCATTCAGGGTCATTAAATGTTGCCAATTTGTTTGAAAAATTAAAAACATTGAAATAGGCTTGTAGACTGGATATGGCTCCCACCACCACCTGTGAGCCTATGATCTGATCTGGTTCATTGTCTCTTATAGATGGGGAAACTGAGGCCCAGAGAAGCCACTGCTGGGTGGCAAGACTATATGAGTCACCATTTGAACACAGCCATTCTCAGCCCCAACTGGGGCTTCTTGCTATACATCACTTTTGCTCCCATTCTTAGGAAGGTAATTAGAAAAGAGTTACCTAGGTATAGGGTGGGGCAGTTAAGTTCCAGATGCAAAGCAACAGAGCTCTTCAGATGAAGCAAGGTAACAGGTTAATTATATCACAGTTACTCCCTCTAGTGAGAATCAGCAAGAAGAGTTAACCTAAGATTTCTGTCCTCTTCATCCAACAAAAGGTAAGCCCCTGGGGGCAGTGCCTGGCCTGTGGCTTGAGCACAGTTGTTTCAGTGGCTGGCACAGGGTACATTTCTGTGGAATGAATGAGGGCTTGAGGAAGGGGGTTAGGAAAGTAATCAACAATCTACCAAGCACTTTCCATGGATTATTGTTTATTCTTTCCAACAACTCTCTGAGAAAAGACGGGTTATGTCTCCCCATTTTCAGATGGGGAAGTTAAGGCCTGGGGAGGACAGGGGATTGACTTGAGGGATCAACTTGGATTTATTTGAACCTGAAGCTGTCAGGATTTAAATTTCATTCTGGGGGTCTCCTAGGTGGCCCTAGTGGTAAAGAACCTGCCTGCCAATGCAGGAGATTTAAGAGACTCAGGTTTGATCCCTGGGTTGGGAAGATCCCCTGGAAAAGTGCATGGCAACACACCCCAGTATTCTTGCCTGGAGAATCCCATGGACAGAGGAGCCTGGTGGGCTACAGTCCATGGGGTCACAGAGTCGGACACGACTGAAGCCGCTTAGCACGCACTGCTTCTTCCATCATGTTTCCCATTGCTTCCCAGGAATCGTGCCCATTTTCCCAGCCCCTAACCTTTCAGACCATCCACTCCAAGAAGCGTGGCTCTTGGTCATACCCAGTGGAGTTGTACTTAAAGCCACTTGGCGTGGGATAATTAGTACCATTTCTTTTTTCAGGAATGATCACTAAGGCTCACAAAGGTGAGGTGGGCCTTGGGCTCCCAGAAAAAAAGAAGAAGAAAAAGAAAGTGGTTAAAGAACCAGAGACTCAATACTCGGTTTTAAACAGTGACAATTATTTCACAGAGGTTTGTCCAAGAGTCACACCACCCTTGAAGGATGTGATCCAAGAGCAGGCACCCAGAATGCCTCTTGTGAAGAAAAAGAAGAAAAAGAAGGGTCACAGCACTGTCTGTGAGGAGCACCTTGAACCTGAGATCCCATTACGTGTTGGACGGACTGAGCGGTCACACAGCCCCAGGACGCAGGCACCTGGTCTGTCTGAGTCCCTCAGTGCGGAGAGGAAGAAGAGGAAGTCCACGTCCCCCGGCTCAAGGGTGAAGACCTCTCCAGACCCCAGACAGGACGAGGAAGTGACCAGAGCTGGCAAGAAGCTCAAAAAACACAAGAAGGAGAAAAAGGCCAAGGAAGCTACAGCCTTCTCAGGCATGGATCCTTGGTTCTTCGAGGCCGGGAATGCATTGTATACTCACTCAGTTGGGAAGGATGGCGTCCAGGAGCAGGCCGTCTCGGGACAGAAGCGGAAGCAAGGGAGTCCCAGGGAACACAGCGTGAAGATGAAGAAGAAGAAGAAGAAAATCCACCGGGAGGGAGATCCCCCGCTGGGGCACCCTGACTGCTCCTGGTCCCTGGAGAGCAGCCCTACGAAAGGAAGTAAAAAGAAGCCAGTCAGAGTTGAAGCTCCAGAATACATCCCCATAGGAGATGGCCCCAGGGCCTCTGTGAAGAAGAAAGTGAAGTCCAAGAAAAGGGTGGAGCAGGCGGACCCCGAGGAGTCAGCTCTGAAGAGGAAGAAGAAGAAGAGGCAGGAGAGCAAAGCAGCAGAGCCACCTTGGGAAGAGGTAGGCTTTCCTTCAGAGGCAACCCGAAGCGCGGAAGTGGCAGTTGTCGCTGCTGAGGACCTCAGGGAAAGTGGCCACCCTGAATCTCGCTGTCACAGGGTCCTGCAAGGGGCTGAGGTCACTAAGAGAGCGTGGCCTGTGCACCCGTGTGGGAGCTGAGACCTGTGAGGGGCCGGGGCCATCTGTGCCTGGGGAGCAGCAGGTGCGGAGACCTGGGAGGAACAAAGGGGCAGGAGTGGCAGGGGCGGGCCGCTGGGGCCTGGCAGAGACTGTAGCAGCCGCAGGGGTCTGGATTTTCATGTAAATAGGGTAGGGGCCCGTGGAGGGTTTTGGGGGATGAGGTAGTGTGGTCCAGTTGTGGTGGTTTTACATTTTTTAATTGAGATAGAACCGACATAGGGCAGGTGTTGGGGGCAGGGAAGCAGCAGTAGAACCTGTCCTAATGGTTCAGGCAGGAGAGAAGGTACTGACTGGAACTCGGAGTTGGGGGGTGCGGGGCATGGTATGGAAGAGGGAACTGGGGGGGCTTCAGGTTCGCTGCAGGGCGGCCAGCCCCCGCCTCTGCCCTCCCTGGCCCTAGCCCACCCCTCCCCGCATCAGTGGGGCCCTGGCCTTGCTCCTGGCTGGCGTGTCACCTGGGAAGTGGGGCATCGTCTGGCCGGGAAGGTCGTGCTCTCGGCCTGAGTTGGGAAATTGGGGTTAGTGTGAGTTAGTGTGAGCCTTGTCTCTGAGCTATGCGGTGACCTCGTGATAGCCCCTTCACTGCTCTGAGCCTTAGTTTCCTCACCTGGCACATAGGTCAGTGCCGCAGTTCTGAGGACAGGATTGGGGAGCATGGTGGAAGAGAAGGGCTTTGCAGGTAGCTGCGTGGCCAAGAATCCACCTGCCAATGCAGGAGACATGGGTTTGATCCCTGGGTTGGGAAGATCCCCTGGAGTAGGAAATGGCACCCCACAGTAGTCTTCTTGTCTGGAAAATCCCATGGACAGGGGAGCCTGGTGGGCTACAGCCCATAGGGTCGCAAAGAGTCCGCTATGACTTAGCACTAGCGGAAGAGGGGGGAAGGCAGGTGTTGTTTGGTGGGGGGTGGGAGAGGCGGGGTGCTGCAGTCTTGCATCTTTTCTGGGCTCATCACGGTCTCGCTTGCCGGGCTGCCCCAGTGGAGGCCATGGTCCACTTGAGCCTTACTCCCTCCGCCTTCTTTGCAGGAACCCGACACGGACTTGGAGGTGGTGTTAGAGAAGAAGGGCAACATGGACGAGGCGCACATAGACCAGGTACAGCCGGTCCTCATCATCCACCACCTCCCCCAGCCCCCCAGGAAACATGCTCGCCTCCTAACAGGCCACAGGATCCTGGTCCCAGAGGCGTCGGGGGCTCCATAGGCCCCCGGACCGGCCTCTGCCCCACCTCAGGGGCAGGGAGCCTGTGGCCACCCTCACTTACAGCTGGGAGAGCCCCTCACCACCACGGCCTTGGCTGAGGGGCCATTGGGTCCTGCAGCATCCCAGGCTGAGGTTGTCCTGCTCCTAACTGCTGCAGGGGGAGGGGGGACATGTCCCCCAAACCCGCAGGCTGGGCAGGGGAGACGAGCTCTGCCTGGCCCATGTGCCACCTCCTGGGCTCCTTGCAGCAGCGCGTTTTTTTTTTTTTCCTGTCTTTCTCAACTTTATTTAAATATAATTGACATACAATAACTACACATATTTAAGATGTACAGTTTGATGAGTTTTAACATATGTATGCATCTAGGAAACCAGCTAAGCAATTAATGAACATACCCACCATTTCCAGAAGTTTCCTTGTGCCCCTTTGTAATCCATCCCACCCTTTCCCATCCCCAGGTAACTGCTTCTACTCTGTCACTGTGAACTAGTTTCTATTTTCTAGAATTTCTGTAAAATTGGGATTATACAGCAGTGCTCTTTTTTAAACAGGCTTCTTTCACTTAACATAATCATTTTGAGATTTATCTATATTGTTGCATGTATTAATAATTTATTTGTTGTTATAGCCTGTCCAGTATTCCTAGTATTATTTGTTTTGATGTTAAAAACATTTTCAGTTCTCAACTGAATTGCCTAGATTGCCTTTGGAAAAAATCAGTTGACTCTGTGTGTGTGATGTGTGGTGTGGGTCTGTTTCTAGGCTCTCCGTTGAGTTTCACTTATCTGTATGTCTGACTTTACACTAGTACCTCGATGTCTAGATTACTGTAACTATATAATAAGTCTTAAATCAGGTAGTGTTAGTCTCTAGCATCATCCTTTTTTAAGTTACTTTGGCTATTTCACGGCCTTTGTGAGGCTATATAAATTCTAAATTGTTGATTGCTACCAAAAAATACTGCTGGGGTTTCGATTAGGATTGCCTTGAATCTCTAGACCAATTTGGGGAGAATTAATATCTAAACAGTATGAAGCCCTCTGATCCATAAGCATGGCATCTCTGTCCCTTTATTTAGGTCTTTAATTTCTCTCAATAATGTTTTATAGTTTTCAGTGTCCAGGTCCTACACATCTTTTGTCAAGTTTTCCTTAATTATTTTATATTTTTATGCTGTTGTAAATAGTATTTTAGTTCAGTTTTTCATTGTTGCATATATTGTGAGTCTGTAGAGATATAAGTGTTGTACAAAAGCCTTAGGAGGGGTTGTTCTATTGTGGACCAGCTTCTGCTTTTGTCATGCCCAGATCCCATGTGGGAGCCGGACTTTCCGGAATTGGGATATTTTGTGATCCTGGACCCAAAAGCTTATCAGGACAGCATAGTAAATAACCACATAAATGTGGCCTTGGGCCATTGCTGATGCAGTGACCTTGGCAGTCACCAGCCTCATGACCCCATGTAGGGGGCTGTGACAACCAGATGAGGCCGCATTGGGGAGGCGCTCAGCAAAGCCTGCCCAGGATCTGTGCTTAGTAAGCGGGAGCCCTTCACCTGCCTGTGCCCTCAGGCTGCATCAGGGAGGGACTGCTGGATAGAAGCAGGGTGTGATGTGGGCACGGCCCGGGGGTGGCCCCACTGCTCCAGGAGAGAGAGATGGAGGAGAGCTTGCAAGCCAGCCGTGTACGGGGAGGGAGGCCTACCAGATGCTTCATGGCGAACTCCCTGCTGCCTTTGGGGCCCTTCTCCCTGGAGAAGGGGCTGAGAGGATCAGTAAGATGATGCTGCCAGAGCCCGATCCAAGGCCTGGCACAGACCACGCACCTCCCAGAACCGGGAGCTCCCCAGCCTCCTGCAGGGCATAGTCACTGAGCTGGGGGAGGGCTGGGCTGCGTGGCTGGTGGGGCCTCACCCCCCAGAGACGACCGGTGGGCACTGACTGTCCAGGCCCAGCCCCTGCCTGCCTCGCTCCCAGGTTCTCGGCGACTTATATGCCACTTGTCCACGCAAGGCTCACCAGCCACCTCTTTGCTTCCTATGAATTTGTGCCTATTAAGTACTTCACAGTTTCTAAGAAAACCATTTGGGTGACAGATGACTTCAATGTAAGTGAAGCTTTCTGCCTCACCTCTCTGTCTATTTCTCCTGTAAAAAAGTTCATTATGTTAAAAAAAAAAAAAGGTGGGGGAAGCAACCTGAAATCCTACCACCTAATAATAATCGCTGTTAACCCTTTGTTGTTATATTCTTCCAGACTTTGCCTTTGTAACAGTATACCTGTGATTTCAAAGCAGCATGCAGTCACACGCAGTATACTGTTCTTCTCTATCATCTGGCAGGTTCACTGCTTTCCACTTCCCTGAGTGCACATCCACTGAAGTTCCACGTGGTTCCCCGCTGGCAGCTGACTTCCCCTGTAGGAATCTGCCATCACTTTCTCTTTCATCCCTGCAGCTGCCACTCGACTTTGTTTTCTGTAGTTTTGAACTACATAAACAATCACCTCGTCTCAGCCTGTGGCAGATGAGAGGAGGAGAGGCCACAAACTGGGGGCAGCTAAATTACAACTGAACCCTTGGGGGAAGGGTCAGGCCCTCGAAGCTTCTGTATCCGACTGCAGCGTCATTAATACGCTGACTGTACAGTGTGTGAGGTCCTTGCTGTGCCAGGGGCTCATAGTCTTAGGAGCTTATGACTTAGGACGGTTCATTGTGAGAGCGGGGGACTTTCTCACACCAACCGGTGAGCCCCTGACACAGTCAGGGTCCCGCAGTTGAGCTCGGTCAGCCACTGCCTGCCTGGAGACACTGTCAGATCCCTCAGCTGAAGGGCTCAGTCCCACCTGACTGCTCCCCACCCCCACCCCCCATTCAGATGCCAGTCATAAGCAGGCTGTCAGCTGTGCCTCGCACCAACCAGCTACAGATCAGAGGTTCCAAAGACTTCCTCCTCGGGTTCAGTTAATGTGCCAGAGCAACTCACAGAACTCACAGAGGCACTTTACTCGGTAGATGAATGGTTTATTCTAAAGGCATATAACTCAGGGGCAACCGGAAGAATGAGATGCACGGGGCAGGGGCTTGGAGCTGCCATGCCTTCCTGGAGAGCTCTAGTCTCGCCAGATATCCAGGGTTCGCCAACTCGGAAGCTCTCCAAACCTTAGCCTTTGGGTTTTATGGAGACCTCATTACTGATACAGTTAATTGAATCAGTGGCCATTTGGTGGTTGAGCTCAACCTCCACCTCCTGGCCTCTCCCCAGAGGTCAGGGGAGTGGGCCTGAAGGTTTCAACCCTTTAATCTGGTGGTTGGTTCTCCAGGCAGCTAGCCCCTATCCTCAGGTGCTTCCCAGAATCGCCTAATTAACATAGCAACTTGAATTGTTCTTCTCGGGAAATTCCTAGGGTTTTTGGAACTCTGTGCCAGGAATGGGGATGAGGCTATATATGAATATTTCTTGTTTTATATTTCTTACTGTAGATTACAATATCACAGTTCTCTGTCTCCCAGTTATCCTCTGAGGTCAATGTATTCATGTATTTGAGGATAAATAGACCATGATACAGAAAGATTAACTGACTTACCCAAAACCACACAACTAGTTAAAGGCGGTGCTAGGATTCAAACTAGGCAATGCCTGTCTCAACAGTCTGTGTTCTTTCTAGAAGATGCTGTCAGCAGGAGAGTTAACCACAATATCCTTTGTATAGCCCGGGCTGTGGGCAGTATATTTTGGGAAAATTTCAACCCCAGATGGCTCTACAAACAAACAAGGTTCTAATCCTAAAGGTAGATGAGCTGCTTCTAGTCTCGAAAGATTCATCCTTTTTTTTTTTCTTGGCCACATCTTGTGGCTTCTGGGATCTTAGTTCCTCCATCAGGGATTGAACCCAGGCTCCAGCTGTGAAAGTGCTGAGCCCTGACCACTGGACCACTGGGGGATTCCCTGGAAGATTCATCCGTAAGGAATGGAAAACAAGGATGAATGAGGCCTGCACATCTTAGGCCAAGGGACTGCACCTTTAGGTGATCAGAGGGTATTTTTGACAAATGCCTCCCGCAGTCTGCAGCAGAACAAAGCTGCCTGAGATACCACCAGACCCCTCAGGTGAAGATCCCTTCAGTCTTTCCCCCACTCCCACCACATCTCTGTCCTGGCTTTGAAGCTCAGAGGTAACTGTCTCACTGCCCTCTTCCCTTTCCTTTCCCTTGCTCAGGTGAGGCGGAAAGCCTTGCAAGAAGAGATTGATCGTGAGTCGGGTAAGACGGAAGCTTCTGATGCCAAGACCTGGACAGTAAGTTTGCCGCTGGGCTCTTTGAGGAGTCTTCAGCGTCCCACCCCCTTCTCACCTTGTGGAGTGGAGGGACAGGAGGCCAAGTCCCTCTGGCCCAGAGGCAGCCCCAGCCCGCCAGCTGGCTCCCTTCTGCACAGAGCTCATCCTGAGCTCATTTCCTTCCTTCTGGAAGAGGTGCTTGCCTCCCTCCTGGAGAGCTGGCTGCTTGAGATAAGCTGCCTGGACCTTTACCTCCTCCTCTGGACGGGCGCGGTGTCCTGGGCACCAGTCTCTCGGGGCACATGACAATGAGCCCTTCCCAGCGGTGGGTGGTGCCCTCAGAACGCTGCTGGCACGGGCGGGGGGAGGGGGGCAGAGGTGGGGGCATGTGTGGCAGGTCTGGTCCAGTTGGAATCCAAAGCAGGGCTGAGGAGATGGGACAGGAGAGCGTATAGCATGGGGCGCGTGATCTGGCTGAAGGAGGGGATGGGAGGATGCGGTGGGCACTGCTGGGGGATGTGTGTGTGGGTAAGCGGGGAGCTGGGGTAGAAGGCTCAGTCTGCAGGCCTGAGGCCTAGGAGGGGGCAGAGGGGAGGGAAGAGTACTTGTTAATAGACGTGGATCTGGGGGAAGAGGATCCAGATGACGGGAAGGCGTGTCTGCTTGTGCTGTTTGAAGCTTTCATGGTGTAACACAGAAAACAACAGTTGATTCAAATCTAAAGACCTGAGATCCATTCTGAGCTCGGCCACTCTCTATAGCTGAGACTTGAGCAAGTAACTTCCCTCCTGTGAGCTTCAGTTTCCGCACCTGTAAAACGGGACTGGTGCTCTGGGCCAGTGGCAAATAGAATGCGGCTTGTTACCTGTCCTTCCTCTAGGGTCTCCTTTCTCTCCATCTGCTTGAGCTGGGCGGAGCTGATAAGATTCCATGATTGAGTGAGGAAGGCCAGAAACAGGCCCGTACCACCCAGAGCAGCAGCCCAGTGGCTTTACTGGTGGACCCGACATCAGGGGGCTGCTCGGCACAGGCTGGGGTCTTCCGCAGATGCTTTAGGAGGCACTGCCCCAAGGCTCAGGACCACTTGACTGCTGAGGCGCACGGTGGGCATGTGAGACCAGGTCCCCTCCAGGAGCTGGCTTCCAGGACTGGTCAGCCTCTGGTAGCTCGCTCCTCTACACCAAGTGCAAGGTTGTCAGATGTGGCCTCTCATTCTAGAAATTGAAGGCTTGGGAAGCTGTCTTTGGTCCTGTATTGGGGCCACTGTGAAGCTGGGGGAACTTGTCACCAGTTCACTCAGGGCAGCTGTAGTGATGACTGGTTCCTATTATTCTCCCAAAGCTGACCTAGAAATTAAGAGCTCAGTTAGCGTTTGGCTTATAAGCGGAAAGTTCCCGGGTGGCACAGAGGTCAGCAGTCCTGGTGGGGTGGGTGGGTAGGAGTGGGTACCAAGTGCCAAGAACAGCCAGTTTTTGAGGATTTAAAACCAACCAGGCATCCTGCTCTGGGTTGCTGGTATTAAGTCTGATCCGAGCCTCACTGAAGCCCTGTTGGGGTGGGGGCGGGTGTCACACCCCCACTTTGCAGATGAGGACATTAAGGCTCAGAGAGGTTAAGTAACTTGACCATGGTAAGACTGGTGGGGTTTGATCCTGACTCTTCAAAGTCAGTCTTCGTGGGGAGCTGGGTTTCTCACCTCTGCCACAGACTTGGGAGGGGAGTCTTCTGTTGGGCCACTTCTCTGAGGGGCTCTTTTGCATTTTCTCGAACATAGGTGATTAGTGCATGGGTGGTAGAGTGCTCTGGACAGGAATTGGAGCCCCGAGTTCCTAGGCTGACTCTGCCTGCAACTCCTGTGAGCCTTTACCTCTCCGGGCCTCCACGCCTTTGCTGCCAGAAAATGTAGTGTTTCTGCGAAGCTAAATGCTTTTCAGACTCCCACTTGCACTCTCCACCTCCGCCTCAGGCTGACGGATGAGTAGCCAGCTGGTGAGGTGTGTCGTACTGACTGCCGTGAACCGGGGGAGAAGGAGTTAAGCAGACGGGCAGCTTGGTGTGAAGGGTGGCTCTGGTGAGGGCCAGACCTGAGACGCAGTCCTGCAGGATTACCACGTAGGCCTGAGGCCCCTCCAGCTGCAGACCTCCATTTCCTCATCAGTGGAGGGGGACCCAGCAGCAGTCCTCACAGGGCTCTGGTTGGAATTAAGAAGTAATTCCAGTAAGCCTTTGATCATCTGGATCCTCCCTGGCTGGGGGCTGGGGAAAGACCCGGGCTTTGGAAGCCAGGAGAGTAACCACCTGTTTTCTCTTACCACAGGGAACCCAGTTTGGCCAATGGGATACTGCTGGTTTTGAAAACGAGGAACAGAAACTGAAATTTCTCAAACTCATGGGTGGCTTTAAAAATCTGCCCCCTTCCTTCAGTCGCCCCTCCACCACGGAGGCCAGGCCCAACATGGCTCTCAGCAAGAAGGCTGCCGACACCCTGCAGCGGAACCTGCAGCAGGACTACGACCGGGCCCTGAGCCGGAAGTACAGCCGGGGGGCCGGGCTCGGCTTCTCCGCCGCCCCGGCCAAAGTCTTTTATATTGACAGGAACGCATCCAAGTCAGTCAAGTTTGAAGATTAAACTCTGCTGTCTCGTCCCCCCAAAACACCCAACATTGCTTTTATTGTTCTATCAGGCAGATGAAAGCCATAGGACAGTTGTCTCGAATCGAACTCCTGCGAAGATTAAGGACAACTGTGTTGATGTGCTTGGACAGACTGGGGTGAGGGCAGCTCCTTTCAAGAGCCAGGAGAACATGTTGAGTGGCTCCCGTTTTCTGTGTGACACGTCCATTCCTGTTGAAGACAGTGAGTATAACGAGCAGGAGCGCACACTTGTCGAAGGCGTCCTGGTTGCCAGGCACTTACATGTCTCCCCTGCATTCATGTATTTAATCGTCATGATTCTGAAACAGGTGCTATTATTATCCTCATCTTAGGAAATGGGGTTCTGGGATGAGGAGACTGGGGTTCAGGGATAAAGTAATAACATTGCCTGGGGTCACTCAGTGAGTTAAGTGCCAAGTGTACTTTTGTGCCCAAGGCCTGTGTCAACTATTCACTACAATGACTGTCCACTCTAGGGAATTTCACCCAAAATACTCATTGGGATTAAAATGTCTTTTGATTGAAGAAACATAGGCTTATTACATGTCTACATCTCAAGCAGGAAGTGGGATTAATGTAAACGGGCAAAAGCAAGCTCATTTCCCCTCCCCCTGTTGGAGTAGCCACAGGCAGAAAGGCGTCTGGATTCCCACCAGACAGACGTGGCCGAGCTGCCTCTGCCGCTGGGAAGCTGCTTCTAAACCCATCCTGCCTTTTGCAGTCTGTGTTCCTTCCATCCCCGGGGCTGTGCTGGGATTTAATCTTTCTTGCTTTAACTGGATTCTAAGCAAGGCATTTGAGAGAGCAATTGGCTAATCCTCCACACGCACGAATGGCATGTTCTTTCCCAGGGACGTGTTTATTGGATTCTTTCCAACTACAAGGAAGAGAATTCTAGGTGACTTCCATGGAGGAGGTCGAATGTCAGGAGGCAACAGATGTGGGGGTGACAGGGCGCTGCCTCATCGGTCTGGGAACAGTGTTTCCAAAGCTTTGATGCTGTAGCCAGCCTCACAAACTCCCAGTACCCCAAGTGACATGTGACCACCTTCTCTCCATTCACCTAGTGTTTTGCGTCCCAAAATACAAGTTCTGCTTGGGCCTTTTTCACACCACTTGGCTTGAACTTCCCCTCCAGACATGCTATCTCAGGCGGGCCTGGACAGCCAGGGAATTCAGTCTCACATGGGCAGGAGTCCTGTGTAGGGGGTTGATTCAGCTTCCCATGAAGGAAATGAATGTTTCCTCTCTGCTCCACCATCCTACCTTGGCTTCCTCAGCTTGGTGGAAAGATGACTGTAGCAATTGCATGCAGCAAATCAAGACACTAGACCATTCTAGAGGGAGAAGAGAAAGCTGCTTGTGGCTCAAGGAAACTTCCAGAAGCCCTTTGGTCATAACTCGTTGCCCAGCGTTGGGTGCCCAGTGTTGCCCACCCATTCTTGAGCCAGCCCCTGGCATGTGGAGGGAAATTCTCAGGCCAGTCAGGAAGGAAGACTGAGGTTCAGATGCTGGCAAGGTGAACCTGGGTCCACTACTGCCCCAGCAGGCAGAGGTGAGGCTGGTCTGCCTGGGCCCTGACCAACAACCATTGGCCAGGTCTGGAGTCCTGCATGCCCGTGTCAGCCCTGATTCTGGTGAGCCACCTCCCACAGAACCTGAATGTGGCCCTCCATGGATGCAGTCTTGAGATACATAACGGAAGAGGCCTACAAGGTGAGGTTCTGCATTGAGTTAGCTCTTCAGGGCATGTCCTCTTCCGACAGCGGTGGTCTTGATCCACACTCTGGGAATCTGCCCAGTGTGAAAGGAGCGAACCACGTCTCTGATCCCTGTGTCTTGCTGATAGCTCATGTCACAGTTTGGGCCTGCTTGGCTGTCAGGAAGGACCGTGCCCACCCATCAACTGTGTGATTCTGGAGAGTAAGTGAGCAGTTGTCCCCCTCTTGCAGTTCAAAGTGTACAGTCTCTCTGTGATGAGATTTGACTTTCTAGCACCATGTGGCTGAAGAGTTCCCCCTGGCTTGGGAAGGTTTATTAAAGTCTGTACCTGAAGCAGGGTCTAAGCAGAGAAGGTTGGACAGCCAAGACGGCAGGATGCCAGGTGTCCTCAGATTGAACCTGGCCTTGTCTCGGCTGCTTGCGTAGGTGCAGACCATGCTGCTGTAGTGACAGCTCCAGCTCTGAGGTTAACTGGGCCTCGCTGTCCTTTTGTAAACTGAACAACATTGTCTTGAGTCGCCCCTCTCCGCTTTGCCCCATGTCCTGGGTCCTCCTCAAGCTGTCTTCAAGGTTTTTTTTTTTTTGGTGTGATTTCCCATGTTGTTCATTTGTTGATTCTGTGTAGCACACAGCCTGTCTCCACTGGAACAAGGCAGTTTTTGGATTTTCACTCAATCTGGGAGAGGTGGGTGGGGGTGTCTGGTATGTAAGCACAGCCAAGGTCTTAGCTGAATATGTAACAACCCTGCTCTCAAACACATTGGCCTTTTCTCCCTTGGGGATTTCTCACAGACTGATCCTCCTTCTATGTATGGCAGGGCCTTCCCTCATTACGATTGCCTTTATCCAGCTGTTCCCCAAACCTCAGGATTCTTGACCACTTTATTCCTTGAGGTGATTTCCTCTGTTTCCCACTAAGCTCCTCCCTGAGGCCACCCTTCTGCAATTAGATTGGCCCATCAAAAGTATTTGCCAGATTAGAGTTCTTCCCTTAAAAATTGTGTGTTCAGCTCTACAAACAACTGTTTAGGTTCTATGCACCCCCGCAACCCCCCGCCCATCCCAGTCCTCATCACTGGAACCTGTTAATATGTTGTGATGCAAAACCAACAGGAGTTTAAGGTAGCAGATGGAATTAAGGTTGCTAAGCAGTATGATTTGACTGGGCCTACCCAGATAATCCAGGGTTAAAAGTATCAATAGAAGACAGAGACAGAAGAGTCAAAGAGATTTGTAAGAAACACTCAACAAGCTGTCACTAGTTTGAAGATGAAGGGACCCCATGCCAAGGCATGCGGGTGGCCTCTAGAAGCTGGGAAAGGCAGGAAAACTGATTCTCCCCTAGAGACTCCAGAAGAACGCAACACCTTCATTTTGAAGGAAAGGCCACTGGACTTCAGACCAGTAGAGCTATAAGGTGATAAAACTGTGACATTTTAAACCCCTAAGTGTGGCAGTTTAAAGCAACAATAAAAAAATTAATACAGGTGTCATAGAGAAGTTTTCATTTTTACCTTATTTCCTAAAAATTTTCTCTTCTGGTTCCATCATTCTTCACGATTGTAGACCTCATGCCATGTAGGCTGCAGTGTTCAGAGAGTGGGTAATTTAGTTAACAGGCTGGGGAACCCACACGAGAACACAAAATCCCAGCTTTCACCTGGGCCAAGGTGACATGTGAATCAGAAGCTGCTTTGGTGTAACGTATCCCTGACCTAATGTGAAAGTCCAAGTCCAGGTTAATGGAAGAGCAGTAGGAATTCACTGACTCAGGCTTGGGCACTGATGCTGTCTGGTATGTATAGACTCAAACCAGAAGAAATGACTTAAAAGTGCATAATTTGAATTTGCCAATTGACTTTCATATGAACAGTATATAGTAAAAGTGGTATAGGAAATGATTTTAATAGAATAATCTTGTGTAATAAAGGCCACTTGGGAATATTTGAGCAATGCCACCATGCTTTCTCAATGGGTTTTCTTCAGTACACGCTGTTCTTCATTGCAGGCCATTTTCTCAGAATTCTTGGGTTGGGGGTGGGGTGAGGGTCACTGTTAAGCTGGCAGAAAATTCACAGCATATTCTTGGTCCCAAACTATTCAGTTAAAACATGAGTTTATATAAATTTTTAATTATTTTAACTACTTCTGTGCAAACTGTAATCAGGCTTTTCACAGAGTAGAAGTGAAATATAGTCTGCTCAGTGGATACCTTCCAAAAATACAATGGTTTGGGGGCACTTTTAATCCACAACTTGGATGCATTTTCCTGCACAAAGGTTCTAGGCTGCGAGTCACCACTACGACCAATATTCATGATCTTACTGATTCAAAATAAAATGTCAGTGGAAGCTCATTAGTGGTAATACAAGAATCAAACTCCATCAAACTAGTAAAAAAAAAAGCAGACTGAATCACATGCTGTTTAAGGTTAGGGCTGCAAGAAAACCAGACAGTATATTTAGACACATACTGAGGCTGTTTAGACACATTCTCTTCTGGATGAGTAAGAGTCAGTGGTAACTAAATGAACAGTCATGAACATAAATATTCCTTCAGGGAGGTTTATTCAGTTACAGTATATTTTCCATCCAAGCCCAGAGAATCTTAAATCTGACTTTGTTTTCTCCTTTAATCTATAAGCGTATTTAAAATCCAATCAAGAGCCGGTTTTGACATAAAGCAAATCGGGGAAAGGGCACAATGACTCTTTCAAAGTGGACTGCTTTTCAAGATTCTGTTTTCAATTAACTTTCAATTAAACCTTCCTGAAAAGAGAGATGTTACTTGAATCCTCTGTTTTTCTCTAAAGGCCCATCTGAAGGCCAGTTGTGCAAAGAAACAGACGCCGCGCTCAGTGGGCAGGAATAGATTCGAATACTCTTGACATCTCTCACTTCACTTCACTGGCAGAACAGCAGAGAAACCAATCTGTATGTGTGTAAAAATGAAAACAAAAATACAAAACAGGTCTTTTCTGGATTGGCATCAGAGACCCTGGAGTCAGGTCCTTGTCTGCAGAGGGAGCCTGAGGGCCAGCTCAGTCAGATGCCCCATGTCGGGCTGCTTGCTCTGCTTCTTGATGTATTCCAGAGTTTTTACCTAGGAGGAAAGAGAAAGACTCGTCTCCTTTGTGGTTCATAATTCTCAAGGCTCTGACAAATCAGCCATATTGTGAACTTAGGTTTATTAGAGAGAAGAAGCCAGCAGCTTTTAAATAAGACTCCTTAGATTACAACTTGCTCTTAAAATCAAGAATTACTACTGTTTTCATACGTGCTGCTCTTATTTACAGGGAATTAATACTAGTTAGTGGTCCCTTGGTTCTAGGATCCTCAGCTGATACCAAACCAAAGGTACACAATCCTTTATAGAAATTGGTGTAGTATTTGCATGTAACCTTCATACACCCTCCTGTATATTGAAATCATCTCCAGATTATTTATAATCCCTACTATAATGTAAATGCTATGTCAGTAGTTGCAGATACATGACAAATTCAGGTTTTGGAAACTTTCTGGAGCTTTTCTCCCCCTGAATATTTCTGAGCCGTGGTTGGTTGAATCTGAGGGTGCTGAACCTGTAGGTATGGAGAGCTGTTTGTCCTTCGTGGGGCCTGGCACCTTCCTGGAAGGGAAGGCGGGGGCTGCGCCAAGACCGCCCGTGCCGGGCCAGCGGGCTTGCGTCACTGGCCGGGACAGCCGTGCCCGCTGGCTGCTGAGGGCCGCCCGCCCCGCCCCGCGCCTCACCATGGTTCTGGTGTCCACACAGCCGTGCCTCTGTGCCAGGTGCCACAGGCTGACGGACAGCTGGTTGAGCCTGTTGTTGCGCAGGTCCCCGTGGGCCAAGATGCTGTTAAAGAACGAAAGGCCCAAAGAGCTCTGGCGCTTTAAGGCCTGAAAAGGAAAAAAGAGGTTACTCTCTGGCACTGGGCTGACTCGTCCCAGCATTGACGCTGCCTGGGGTGCCAAGGCCAGCTCTGCCATGGATCTTCTGGAGGGCGAGCTGCTTAACCTCCTGCTTCATCTGTAGGAGAATTAAGGTAACACCAGCTCACAGGGTAAGTGAGACTAAAACGAGATGCTGTGTGGGGCCTTACTCATGGAGTGCAAGCAGAAGGCAGTGATGTTCTCATGAGACTCGGTGCTCAGCGGGATAATGACACAGGCCAGCAGAGACCGGCCTTCTTGCTTTAATGCCAGTAACTGAGGTGAAATGGTCTCTCACAGACGTGTCCTCAAGCCACTAAAGTTCCTGTCATTATTCCTACTCTCTGGCTGCCAGGAATAAAGACAAGAGACCTCAGCTCCCCATGAACACTTACAGGAACAGGCAAGAATACTAGAGTGGGTTGCCATTCCTTTTCCCAGGGGGTTTTCCCGACCCAGGGATCAAACCTGGGTCTCCAGCACTGCGGGCAGAGTCTTTACTGAGTCAACAGGGAAGGCCACAAGAACCACTGGATATGCTTAACCAGATCCTTCCCCTCTTGCTCAATGATCTGATGTGAGAGGTACTCCAACAAGAAGAGTCTAGCCAAACTGTCAGAGGAGACCAAGCCTGAACCCCGGCTTTAAATAGTAAAGGAAAAAGGGAAACTAAATCTCCAAAACGCAGCAGGCCCAGGACAAAGGATGCCAGCTCCCAAAGGTAAACAGAGGCACCTGGGAAGGCCCAAGTCAGCAGGTGGGCCTGAGCAAGGACCAGGTCAGATCACAGGTCTGTGTGGGCCCCTGAGAGCTGATGCCCGGGCCTTCGCTGGGTGCTCTTGGCAAACATCAGTGCTGTCAGGAGCCTTGAGGGTCTGCTTTGCACACTGTAGGGTACAGGGCCCTGCACTGTGCCAGGCATGAGCAATGTGCTTTACACAACTTACTTCATCTTTACAACAACTCTTTAGAGGTAGGCAGAATTCTAAAGCTGTCCTCCAGGATCCCACCCCCTGGTTATTCAAACAGTAATCTAGGTGCTACTGTGAAAAGACTTTGCAGGTTGTAATTAAGGTTATGGACCTTAGGGAGATAATCCTGGATTATCTGGGTGAGCCCAGTCTAATCATTAGAGCCCTAAAAAGCAGAGACATTTCTCAGGCTGAAGTCAGAGACAAGTTAGCAGAAGAGGAAAGCAGAGGAAAGGTGCTGCAGAAAGGGAGACTAAAGAGATTCGAAGCTTGAGAGGGACATGACCCACCACTGCTGGCCTTTAGGAGAACTGAGGTGGCCAACTCTAATGAGCTGGGAAGTAGATTCTTCCCAGTGCCTCCTGGTTAGAGCCCAGCCAGTCAACACCTGATGTCGGCCTTGGGAAACCAGGAGCACAGAAAGTGGCCCAGCCAACACTGACTTCTGACCTCCCAAACTGTGAGATAATAAACGGGGGTTTAAAGTTTGGGGTGACTCAAAGCCATAAGAGGAAACCACTACATTTCCATTTTGCTGATGAGGTCAGAACTTCTGGAACTTCCTCAAGGACCGCAGCTAGCAAATGCAGAGTGACGCTCTGAGCTCCAGTTGTCCAGTTCTGAGCCTGTGCAATTCACACCCAACCCAGATTATAAGATGTTCCCCAAGACCCATGGCTAGCATCATATTATGGATCCAAAGAGCTTCCCAGGTGGTGCACTGGTAAAGAATCCACCTGTCAATGCAGGAGATACAACAGATGCAGGCTTGATCCCTGGGGCAGGAAGGAAGATCCCCTGAAGAAGGGAATGGCAACACACTCCAGTAGTCTTGCCTGGAAAATTCCATGGACAGAGGAGCCTGGTGGGCTATAGTCTACAGGGTTGCAAAGAGTCGACTGGACTGCACACAGCACAGATCAGGGATCAAACTCTGAAGAGGCCAAGAAATTTGCCCAGTGCAGCTACAGATTTATCCAGGGAAGTAGGGATGGTCTGAGGTGGTTTAGAACAACACATATTTTTCCTGCTTTCTTCAAACAACCTATTAACTGTCCATCCTTCCATGCGTGGAGCCTACAGAGCCGCAGACTCCATGTTAACTGCTGACCCAACTTAGTCATCCCCTCCTGCTGCCCTCTCCCAGCCAAGAATTTCAAATCTAGTAGAGAAAAAAGCAAGACAGTAAAACTGCCCAGGAGCAGCTAAGAATGCAGTTGGGTGAGGGTGTCATGTGAAAGTGAAGAGACTCAAGCCCCCCAAAATTGAGCCTGCCCTGGCAACAGCCAGGACCAGGTGACCATCACAGCAGCAGCTGACCCAACTGAACAACACTGCCGTCAAGGGGAGGGGTCGTGCTGTCGGGTCCCCACCTGGCCAGCAGATCACTAACTGGCTGGCCACTGCCTACTGTGGGCTCCTTTGTTTAATCAGACAATGAGCTTGCCCCTGCCGGGAACCGGGCAGAGATCATCCAGTGGGTTCCAGCCTATCCTGCTCTCCCTTTAAACTGGAGATGCCTGGAAACGAGGGCCCTGACTTCTACTCAGGTCCAGAGGACCAACCTCATAGAAAGAGCTCAAATAAGATTCTTCTGAGAGGTGCCTTTTAATTACATTTCCTGGAAGCAGGGCAGAGTTTTATAAAGTCAAACAAGGAAAACAGTATCTCACTGGCTTTTTCTCTGCTCTGTATCTTCTCAAGCATTTTACCCTACAAGCCCAGTTTGCATGTATTTTAAATGAAAACATTAAAAATGAAATCATTAGAGAAGGGTCTGGGAATGAGCAGGCAGGCTGCCCGACGTGCAAAGAGACCCAGGAAACTGTGAACACGGGAGAGAATCAAACCCAGGCCTCAAGCCCGTCCTATCTCCACAGAGCTTTTCAATAGAAAGGGGCTGCTTTTGATTCTTTGCCTAGGGGAACTGTCACTTCCAGGAAGTTGTAAGGGTCTGGCATGGTTCCCAGCTTCACCACACCCAAACAAACAGCTTCGTGAAGCGCGTGACTAGAGAGGGTTGGCTCCTTCACGTGCGGGTGGAGGGCAGTTTGGAGGCAGGGCTGACACCAGTCAGTGCTGAGAGGTGAGACACTCAGCTCGGGCGCCAGCGCAGGGCTTTCACGGCACCGAGCTTGGCTCCCCCGATGCAGAGAGAGCCCAGAGCTCTCCTGCTCCAGGCTCTAGAAGCCTCTGCCCCCCCCAGGGCTGCCTGTGCCAAATCTCACAGCACATTGTTAAAATGAAGGATGACATGTTCCATCTTAGCTTGGTCCACCCATGTTTTTCCCAATAAATGTGCATATATGGACAGACACTTTCAGTGAGCATCCCTGGTATTTATATGAGTTGAAATGTCCTTCGGAAACATTCCAGCCCTGCTGTTCCTTCAGAAGTATTTCAGCTGTTATCACCATCAATGCCTCCTCCCCCAAGAGAAAAAGAGACAAGTTAAAATAGTTGCAGGTTATATGGCTCTGGGCTCATTTTTATTGTGAGCCTGGAGGTCCTAGACTGTGGTCGTTTATGCTGTCAGCAGCCACCTCTGATTAGATCCAGCCTGTGGCATCAGAGTGAAGAAAGGCATTTTCAATTAAATACACAGCCCTGCTCCGGCAGGAAGCAAGAGCCAGAGCCCGTGTTTGCAGGGATCAGGAAGGTGCTAAGGATCCTTCAGAGCAGGGGAGCAGAAGGGACGTTATCAGTGTGGTCAGTGCAGACAGAAGGTGAAGAACTCCCCTTTCTTCTGCAGGGTGGTGAGGGCTCGCTCAGAAAGCCGCCAACTACAGAGACCAAGTTGACACCCATTCAAAAAAGGCCTTCTGGTTGGAGGAGGGGAGTTACCTCTTCTAACGAGGGTTCCAATGCTGCTCCCCCCACTGACAGCCAACGCCCTCCATGCATGAATTCCCCCAGAGTTCTGCAGCCCTGCACCCCATGGGTCCCAGGTCAGTGGGACCCACCTGCAGCCCTCCCACCCCTGAAGAGGGCACGAGGAGGCAGTCGGGGCCTCCAGGGTGGCAGTGCTTCTGGTTTTCCATCTGCTCTCTGGACTGCTAACCTTAAGGCTGGCCCTTTACCCTGTGCCCCTGACCTTGGTAGTGGCCACTGGGGAATGGAGTCTGGAAAATGCTCCACTCTTTCTCGGACCTGCTTAAATACGCTGGAGAGAATAAGAACCCAGGACATATAAGTATGTTGTGTGTGTGTGCATTCACAGTTACAAAATATTCTTGTGGCTTTGTGTTGGGGTGGGGAAGGGCAGGAAGGGCAATGGTGGCATGCTATACAGTCCTAGACGTGAATAAGAAATAAATTAAAAATCCAGTTTGATCTTATTTTGTCTTCAAAGGATTTGGTGGATGGGGGTACAGAAGCAAATCCTAGGAAAGTGAGACTCCAGGTTGGAAAAAAGGGAGCTGGGGAAGTGTGTGGAAGGAAGGGGAGGGCTGGGAACCAAGCAGTCTGAAATCTGTCCTGGATCTGGGAAAGGGAACTGGAGTGGGGTGGGGGTGAGTGGCAGTGAGAGAAAATAGGAATCTGCTAGGGTGGGATCAGGAACGAGGTGTCAGGTTGTCTCCTGCTAGATGGGATTTTAAAAAACTGAAATGCTCAGAGATGCAAGCAGACAGCTTAGAATGACAAAGAACAAGATTTGGGGTTGGAAGGGGGTATGGCAGGGAGAACACAGAAGCAGAAAGTCTGGCAACAACTGTCCCGGGGAAGGACACAGGGAAAGGTCAGGCACTGGCTTTGACCTAAAGTGAAGTGGAAGTGTTTGTTAGTCGCTCAGTTGTGTCTGACTCTTCGCGACCCCAGGTTCCTCTGTCCGTGGAATTCTCCAGGCAAGAATACAGGAGTGGGTTGCCATTCCCTTCTTCAGGGAATCTTCTCAATCCAGGGATTGAACCCAGGTTTCCTGCATTGCAGGCAGATTCTTTACCATCTGAGCTACCCTGCCAACCACCCCACCTTGATTACACAACAGTTATCAGTCTTAATGTCTGAACAACCATCCCCACCAAGCCTAAGACAGGGCTTCTGGGATCCATCTGTCACCCACATGTTTGAGCTGAAGTTGCAAAAATGGAATACTGGAGAAGGATACCAGGTAGTTATTTAGACTGTAGGATAACTTGGAAATTATTTTGAAATTAATCAACCATCTATCTATATGGAAAATATGGAAAAAACCACTCTGAAAAGGCAACAGTTGGTAAAAGAACATATTCAGGGATCAGAGCATGGGTTCTAGAAGACTGTCTTGGCCACACTGCATAGCTGCCACTCTAGGATTCAGTTTCTCTAAAGTATAAAGGGATAATAGCTGTCCCCACTCACTGGACTGTCATGAGAATCAGTTGAAACAATGCATACAAAGCTCTCCACACTACACTTATTACAAGAGAGGCTGGAATGGGAATCCCCTGGTGGTCCAATGGTTAGGACTCCAAGCTTTCACTGTCAAGGGCGTGGGTTCAATCCCTGGTTGGGGAACTAGCAAGCCACGATGTGCAGCCAAGGCAGAGAAAAACACAACAGAAAAGCTAGGAAAGCACAGCCTGCTGCCGTGGCTGGGTGACACCACATGCCACTTTCCACTTCCATAAGCAGAAAGGCCTTACTGAGGAAGGCAGTGCAGTGGTAAGGATTCAGGCTTGGGGGTTGGGCCAGGAACCCTGTTCTGTCACAACCAGAGGAAACCGGGGGCTCTGGAAACCTCTCTGATCCTCAGTTTTCTTTCCTGTTGAAGGAGAATAAACACAGCACCCACATCATAAGCCTGTTGAGAGTGTCTAAAGAGCTAAGGTGTGCAAGTACAGGCTATTATCACCCAGCATGCTCAGACTGGGCACCCGCTGCATGCCAGGTTTCAGGGGAGGATGCTGAGGTGAGGGACAGAGGGATCCCAGGACCCTGTCTCCAGCACAGGCAGGTCTCCAGGGCCTGGCCACATGGAGCTTACATTCTGGCGGGGGCAGCAGGTGACTAACAAGTGAACACACACACACAATGTTTCAAAGCACGCCCAAGCATCACAGGGACACACACAAAGATTCAGAGGGATGCAGGAGGGCGTGGCTGCTTGAGACGGGGGTCAGGGAAGGCCACTCTGTGACGTACTTGAGTTGTGACTAGAATGATGAGTGGGGTGGTCAGGGGAACCCCGGGTTGGGAGGCACAGTGCAGGCAGAGAAAGTGGCAGCAACAAAGGCCCCGGGGCCCCCGATGAACAGTCTTCACACAAGCACATTACTCTCAGGACAAAACAGTGTCCAAGCACCCTGGGAACCTATGATTTGGGCGCCAGGGGCAGGGGGTCAGTGGGCACCTACTTCATCCTTGGCCAAGGTTTTCAGGTGCTCCAGGATCTGAGTCATCACCGTCTCGCACAGCTTGTTGTTTTCAGCCAGAAACTTGGTGTCTCCCCCATAGAGGCTGTCGTTGGAGTCGACTGATGGAAGAAACGAGAGCTGTGAGACATTCCCAAGGCCAGGGAGAGGCAGCCGTGTAGCACCAGTATCAGCACATGGCAGGAACGCACAGGAGAGCAAATGGAAATGGCCAGCATCTCCTGCTGACTCGGGCCCTTGGGAATCAGAGAGAAAATACCTGGCCTTCCGAATGACTGAGCCAGACAGCAGGAGCATGGAAGTCTACCTGTCCCCTCTGGCCTGGCATGGAGGGGACATCAAGCACTGCAGTGACCATCAGAATGGCTGTCAACACTAAGCACCGTGTGCCAGGCACTGGGCTCAGGACTTCGCAGGCATTACTGCAGGGTCCTCATAACTAGCATGGGCAAGAGATAACGGATGGGCACATGGAGGCTCAGAGCCCACCCTGGCCAGGATCCCAAAGGGGGGGGCTCCTTTCAAGCTAAGCACCGCCCCCAGCCCCCTGTCCTGTCGCTCCTCCTCAAAACTAACTCCGCAGGTGGCATGGAAGGTTCTCTTATGTCTTCCTGCAAACCCGAATCTTCTCACCAAAGTCCTCTCTCTCCTTGGGCACCTCCCGTGACAGCTGCTGTCTATAGAAAGACCAGACGCAAGAACAGCCTGAGTTTGACCTCCCTCTCCCTCTTTCCTGTTGACCTTTACACAAAGCATGACCTCTGGGTCAGAAAGGAGAGAGAGACTCCACAGGGTGCTGTTTCACAGTTGTTGTTTTGTTTTTTTTTTCATTTAATGATTCTTGGAGCTATTTCCGAATCAGCACAAATGGATGTCACAACAAACTGTGGAAAACTCTTCAAGAGATGGGAGTACCAGACCACCTGACCTGCCTCCTGAGAAATCTGTACGCAGGTCAAGAACCAACAGTTAGAACTGGAGATGGAACAACAGGTTCCAAATCAGGAAAAGAGTATGTCAAGGCTATATATTGTCACCCTGTTTATTTAACTTATATGCAGAGTACATCATGCAAAATGTCAGGATGGATGAAGCACAAGTTGGAATCAAGACTGCCGGGAGAAATAACAATAACCTCAGATACACAGGTGACACCACCCTTATGGCAGAAAGCAAAGAACTAAAGAGCCTCTTGAAAGTCAAAGAGAAGAGTGAAAAAGTTGGCTTAAAACTCAACATTCAGAAAATTAAGATCATGGCATCCAGTCCTATCACTTCATGGCAAAAAGAAGGGGAAACAATAGAAACAGTGAGAGACTTTATTTTGGGGGGCTCCAAAATCACTGCAAATGGTGACTACAGCCATGAAAGTAAAAGATGCTTGCTCTTTGGAAGAAAAGCTATGACCAACCTAGACAGCATATTAAAAAGCAGAGACATTACTTTGCCAACAAAGGTCTGTCCAGTCAAAGCTATGGTTTTTCCAGTAGTCATGTGTGGATGTGAGAGGTGGACTATAAAGAAAGCTGAGCACTGAAGAATTGATGCTTCTGAACTGTGGTGTTGGAGAAGACTCTTGAGAGTCCCCTGGACTGGAAGGAGATCCAAACAGTCCATCCTAAAGGAGATCAGTCCTGGGTGTTCACTGGNCTTTGGCCACCTGAGCTGAATCATTAGAGAAGACCCTGATGCTGGGAAAGATTGAAGGCAGGGGGAGAAGGGGACAGAGGATGAGATGGTTGGATGGCATCACCAACGTGATGGACATGAGTTTGAGTGGGCTCCGGGAGTTGGTGACACACAGGGAAGCCTGGCATGCTGCAGTCCATGGGGTCGCAAAGAGTCGGACATGAGTGAGCAACTGAACTGAACTAATAAATGGATGTGATGTTTTGCTTGTACCACCTCAGCAGGAGTTCATCGTGTGATCAACCAGACATGTTTGGTTGGTCTCTCCTACAGACACTTCATTTGTTCTCCTTCCTTTCTTTTGTGGTGGGGGTAGGGGTGGGGGTGGGGCCAGGCTGCTGCAAAGTCTTACCATCTGTAATGAAACCACAACCTCTGCCTTGCAGAGTCAATTCTTTCCCCCCAAGCCTTCTTCTTGCCAGATAGTCTTTTAACAGCTCTCACCCCAATTCCCAAATGTATGTGGCTGAGCAAAGTTATTTCCTCCTCGTGTGTACAAGTGCTGGTGCTTAGTACATGGAGCACCCTTGGTGCTATGTAGCCAAGGACAGGGAAAGTGCAGTGGCAGCTTTTAGATGTTTCTGATCCATGTGTACATGCCTGCCAAGTTGCTTCAGTCATGTCTGACTCTTTGTAACTGTCTGCAAGGCTCCTCTGTCCATGGGATTTCCCAGGCAAGAATACTAGAGTGGGTTGCCATGCCCTCCTCCAGGGGATCTTCCAGACCCAGGGATCGAACCTGTGTCTCCTGCAATTCTTTACTGACTGAGCCACTGGGGGAAGCTCCATCCATTCTGATCTGATGGAGGCCTAAAATCTGGGCCACCGTGCCAGGCGCAGGGACATCTGACAAAGGAGAGCCATGAAAGTGCCTGGGTGGGGAGGGCTGTGTGTGGCTGTGCGTACATGGCCATGTACACACAGTGCTAATCCAGTTCATGGTTTACAGATGTTTTCAATAAACTGGTTCAGCTTAGCTCATCTGGCGGAATGCACTCTGCTGTGCTCTTCTCAGCCAGACTCATCACTGGCCCTGTCAAAGGGCCCAGTGAGAAAGACCCTGTCTCAGAGGCGTTTACAAATCCAAAGGGATGAAACATATGTGATCACAGTAAAGCCCACGAGGTTGTGTGATGCAAATAAGAGGTGACATAGGGCACTCTGTTTAGTTTGCAGATGGGTGAGGCTGGGAATAAGAGCCACAGTGGACAGTCCCATCATGGTCAAAGTCACCAGCTGTCGACAGGACAGGGTCTGCACAGAACTCTTCCCTGGACTGCTGATAACGGGCTACAGAACCAGGGGATCACGTTCAACAGGCACTGGCCATGAAGAGAAGAAAAGTCAAGGTACAATGTGCAGGGGTGGCTTCTAAACTTTTCAAAAAGTGACCCCTATTAGGGTCACTTACAGGAAAATTGGCAAATACATTAATAGGCAATGTATCAGATATACATCTAAATGGCCTATAATTTTATGGAAAAAAGTTTGATTTCACTAGAAATCAAAGAACAGAAAACTAACACCACAGAAGAACTTTAAAAAAAAAATCACCTATCAGATTAATAAAGGTGAGAAAGAATACCCGGCTTTGATGTAGGCCTGGGGAAGCTACTGGTGGGAATAGCATAGTTTTGGAAATCAGTAAGAAAAGCCTTAAGAAATATCTAGTCCTACTTCACATCTATTAGCATTGCTATTATTTAAAAACAACAACCACCACAAAAAGGAAGATACGAAGTGCTGATGAAGGCGTGGAGAAACCAGAAGCCTCGTACACTGCTGGTGGGGATGTAAAATGGTACAGCTGCTGTGGAAAAGCTCAGTGGTTCCTCAAACAGTTAAATGAACTGCCCAGGATCCGGCAACTCTGATGCTAGATATGCTCAAAGGAATTGAAAGCAGAGACTCAAACACATACTTGTACATCAATGTTCATAGCAGCCTTATTCACAGGAGCCAAAAGGTGGAAACCCAAGTATCCACAGATGGATGATGGGTAAGCAAAATGTGGTTTATCCGTATAATGGAATATTATCCAATCATAAGAAGGAATGAAATTCTAATACATATCACAATATGGATAAACTCTGAAAGCATTATGGTAAGGGAAATGTACCAGACAAAAAAGGACATCTACTGTATGACTCCACTTGTATGAAGTACCTAGAAGAGGCAAATTCATAAAGATAGGAAGTAGAACAGAGATCACCAGAGGCTGGGGGAGGGGGAGGTGAGCAGTTATTGTTCACTGGGTACAGAGTTGTTTGGGGGAATGAAAAAATTCTGAAAATGGATAATGGTGATGGTTGCACAACACTGCAAACATGCTTAATAAAATGGAATTATCCATTTAAAAATAGTCAAAATGGTAAACTTGATGTTATATATATTTTATTCCAAAAAAAAAAAAAAGTCTTAGAAAAAGGCCAGCTCTTTGACTTGGGAGAACCCACTCTAAGAAAATAATCCCACAGGTGCACAAAGATGCACGTATGTGATAGTCATTGTCACCTTACAGAGAACAATGCTCATTATATGTTTAATGTATGTTCATCATAAATGTGTAAAAAGGTGAGAAGAGAAGCAGTGGAAATGTATACCAAGAGTTTTGACTCAATGCTCTGTGGTATTAGCATTAAATAAAATATTATGAAGATGATAAAAGTATATGATCTATAGTTGTTAACTACCATGTACTACACTGCACTATACTATTGCTACTACTACTTAAAGATATTTATAATATACTATCAATAAAGTGACAAAACAGTATACATAGTGGAGCTCCATATATATCACACAGACATATAAAGCCATGTATTTCCCAATTTATAACTTCTAAGAACCAATTTTTTCAATTAAAAGCAACTATATTTCATTATTTTATATATTTCCTGTAACCTGTCTTGGATTTTGGGGGGAATGGGACAGGTATACAGTAATTAACTAATTGGTAAAGTAACTTCAGAGATGCTTCATGTACATTTCTGGTTGCTACTTCAAGAATAATAACTCCTTTTATCCCCAGATCCTTACCAGGCTGCAGAACGGTGGGGTAACAGGACACTGAACAGCTGCCTCACTCACCCCGCATCACTTGATGCCATCCTGCCCTGCTGTGAAGCTCTCGCTTGCCCTTCTCCACACTCCCACATACACACAGACATATATGCCATTTCTTTGGCTGAACCTTTGGTAAGCAGACTGCAGACATATTGCCTGCAAATAAGGAGAACAGCTGGTCCTTTCCCCCCACTTCTCCGTCCGCGTGAAACCTCCACTCCAGCTCTGCACTGCCCACTGGTGGGGACTGTCCTGGGCCGGCTGCTGGCTCCGCAGCTGTTACTGTAACACGGGTTGGTAGTGAACTGCCATGGGCTGCAGGCAACCAACCATCCTAGGATTTTGGAGTCAGCTCTGGCTGCTGTGTCTCAACGGTCCATGATGTGGAAGATGGCAGTTATTCTTGTAAGAAGAGAAAGAATTTGATTCAGCCATTCACCACCATCAGATTTTGCAGGATGGCAAGACTGCAGCTGGTGAAGGAATCTCTCACACCTGCTGCTGAGGACTAGGATAGTTCCTGGCATAAACTCCCCGTCTTCAGTCAGAGCTGGAACCTACTCTCGTTCAGGTTAGCCCAGCAGCAGTGGAGAAGACAGAAGGCCTGGGACTGCCTGTGGCCACCCACCCAAGCTGCAGGCACCCTGCCCAGAGGGGCCAGAGGCGTGCTCAGAGCAAGCCGCTCACACACACAGAGCACGGGCTGGGAGAGAACCCGCTCTGCGCCAGGTTCCAGGAGCTGGAGACCTGGTGGGGGCGGTGGACCAACCCGGCCCTGCCCTCACACAGCACACAGCCCATAACGAGGTGCAGATGAGCAAATGGACGGTCGCCACCAGATGCACTGCAGGTCCGGAGACAGCAACCCTGGGGGCCCCAGATCCTAAAATCCAGGCTTGGGATGGAATTACACAATCAGTGAGATCTAGGCTGAGCCCTGAAGGTAGAAAATGCACAAAGAAAGTGAAAAAAGCCATCAGGAGTGCTGAGAGTGCCACATCTGAACTCGAACCCGCTCTGCACTCCAGCTAAGCAGCTCCTGACTCTCCACTTCGCCCTTCTCTCCCTCCCTCTGTTTCTGTTCTAACACTTGGAGAGTCCAGACATGGTGCTCGCAGTGGGGAGAAATGAAATCCCTGGCAAATGGCCATTAAAAATAGCCCAGGATCTCTGCATCTGTCTGGCCTTGGGGTCACAACCCTGAATGCTTCAAGGGCTGGCAGGCGACGTGGAGGAATGAAAGGGCTGCGATGACCTCCCACAGGCCCCTGGGTCGTACTCTTCCAACTAGATGTCTATCTGCGTGTTAAATACATAAACATCAGTGTCAGGAGTGTCCTGCCTCTCCATAGCAAGCACGCTCTGTCATTCACTCGCATGAAAGCACAGGAGTTATGGCTCTAGGTAATTTCAGAACATTCTCTTCTTATTCATCTGGAAAGAAAACAGCCTAGGCATCCTTCATATGCAAAAGAAAAAAAAAACCGAACCCAAATTTTCAAAAAAAGCAAACCTTTGTTTAACACTGTCTAAAAAGGTTGCCTCCAATAACGAGAGAGACAGGAAAATAGGGCCCCCATCTTGTGGGCCTCGTGTGGCCCCCCAGGACGCTCTATCCTACTAAGACAACTGTCAGGTCACAACTGTGCATCCAGAGAGAACAGAGCTAGCTGGGCCAAGAAGGCAGCAGAGAAAACCCACCCTTCTGTTCTCGTCTCCAAAAGCTAGAAAACTAGATTCCTCCTGTGCTGGCGCTCCAGCTCCTACAGTCTGCCCTGCTGTGTTCTACAGACAGAGGATTCAGTGAATCCGCTGAAGGAAGCAAAAATCGAGGAGAGGGCTTGCTCCTCTGACAGGGCCCAGGATTTCCAGACGAACTTCCATGGCAGCGTCTGGTGCTCAAAAGTCTCTCTACTGTTTTGAGTCCTCCATGAACCTTTCACAAGAGAGAAAATAAAAGTGCCAAGAAATACAAGAAAAGCTCAACCTCATGAGCCATGAGAGAAATGCAAATTACACTCATCGGAACAGCCAAAATGAACAAGACGGACCACATCAAGGAAACAAATGGAAACCTCATTCATGCCTGATGAGAGTGTAAACTGGTGTAAATATTTTGGAAAACTGTGAGACAGTACCTACCAGAGCTGAACACAAGGAAATCCCACAAGCCAGCAATTCCACCCCAGGCATATACCCAACAGACATGAGCCCTGAGAGTTACATATTCAGGAATGTTCACAACAGCACTCCTCGTAACAGCCCATAACTCCATCCACAGGGGAAGGAACAAATTCTGGTATATTCATACAGTGGAATACTATTCAGCAAAGCAAAAGGATGAACAACAGCCACACACAACACAGAAGAATCTCACAGACATAACACTGAGTGAAAGAAGCAAGACACTCATTTAGAATGCTTGCTAAATGAGTCCCTTTAAGGAAAAGTAAAAAACTAACAAACTACCTTGTAATATTAGTCAGGAGAGCAGTATACCAGTAGAGAGGCAAGTGGTGGTGCTGACTGGACGGGGGCATATAGGGAACTTCTGGAGAGCTAGTAACGTTTGATTTCTTGATCTGGGTGGTGGTTACCAGGTGTATTCATTACGTGGTAATTCACAGCTTTATGGTTTACCATATGTGTATACAACCATTGCTGTTGTTTAGTTGCTAACTTGGGTCTGACTCTTTGCAACGCAATGAACTGTAGCCCACCAGGCTCTACTGTCCATGGGATTTCTCAGGCAAGAACACTGGAGCGGGTTGCCATTTCCTTCTCCAGGGGATCTTCCTGACTCAGGGGTCAAATCCACGTCTCCTACATAGGCAGGCAGACTGCCACTGAACCACCAGGGAAGCCCCCGTATACAACCATATACTTTAATTAAAACACTGTTATTCCATAATCAAGGACGCAGCATAACGCATGTGCCACAGTGAATTCCACTCACAGCACCAACTGGCCCTGAGCTCTGGAAATCACACGGTTGGTAAAATCATGTTGTCTTTTGGAGTCTCCCCTTGCTCAAATGCAAAATGGGGACACAAATACTCATTCTTTTCACAACGCTGTCAGGATCAGAGGAGAAAGAGGACCACCAAGTTTGGTGCCGTACCTGGCATGCAGTAGGAGCTCAGACCATGGAAACTATCATCTCCAATGTTAACCAGCCTCCCCAAGTTACGTCCTTACAAAACCTCAGCCCCTAAATCCCAGCCAGAGGAACCCCCTGAGTTATGACAGGAGGCCACCCTCAGCACTACAAATCCATTCCCTAAAATTTCCAAGTGTAGAGATAGTTGCTTAAACCCTAAAGTATACATGTATTGGCCAAAGCACTTTTAACAATAGGGCCATTTTTGTTGGAAACCAAAAATAGGAACTGAGGCTCTGACAAGTAGGGAGATGCTGAGGCTCAATGGGTGGCAGTCTGGAATTGGGACTGTCCCATGTTATCTCCAGGACATGAAGAGGCGGCCCCCAAATCTGCAGCAGAAAGCTCAAAACGGCTGGCTGCACATGGGGGTACAAGGCCATCTCCTTCCTCCAAGCAACTGCTCTAAGGCCAGGACTCCTGTGAGACTGGAAAGGAATAGGCCTGGGGTGAAGGTCACACATGTGCATATGTAACCACCATTCTAGAAATTCTGTGGCACATGCAAGGCATCACCGATCCAAAAGAGCACTTCTCCAAACTCATCTGTGTGTCAAAATGATCTTGGATGCTCACGAAAGATACAAATTCTCAGGTCTCTTCCTGGGCAATCTAATTTAGAAGAGATAGATGGGACCCAGGAATCTGTGTTTTTAAGAGTTGCCCCAGGTAATTCTTACATTGGACAAATTTATCAAGACCCTGGACCAGAAGTTCATGGTGGGTAAAACACAAGAGAAAATGAAAACTATGCATTGCCACTCGGGAGTTCAAGCACAGTGCAGTCTGGCGGGGCACCCGGCTACCTTTGTCTACGTGGTAGAGATAGGTCTCCTGGCTCATGGCAGATAGCAGGTGCAGGACGCAGGTGTAGATGCGGATTTTCTCATCGCTGTTCTCCTCCCAGGCGTAGTCCTGGATCACGTTGAGCAGCTCTCGAACAAGAAACAGGACTCCGTGTTCAGGATGGTCCTAGTGGAGGACCAAATCAAAAGAATAAATAATCCTAAATGTGAAGCAAAAGGGAGAAAAAAAAAAAACCTCAAGACAGAAACCCAGGTCCCTCCCTTTAGCAGCTATAGAGAAATTGAAGTGCCAGCTATGGTTAAACAATAGAGAGAAAAAGCGGCAAAACGCTGCTAACCTTACTAATCAGCACACTAATCTGGGGAGACAAGGTTTGAGAGCCTAGGATCCGAGAGAAGAAAGCAAAGTTACCTGTCAGTTTAATGGCCTGTTTCCAAAATTACAACCTTGCTCTTATGTGCATAACAGTAAAAAGCCCTGTTTTTCCAACTACAAAAGCTAGATTGCAGGTCTCGCAGCAGATGGCACAGAAGCCACCTACCTCGGGTAAAGCCCCAAATGATCACTGTCACCACCAAAGGCACTGACTTTAAACACACCCTTGCTCTTTAGGGCGTTCAGCAACATTAACAGCTAAATTGAGGATCCTCTCTTGGGGGATCATGCCTGTGCTCAACTGCTCAACTCTCTGTGACCCCATGCACTGCAGCTCCCCATGCTACTCTGTCCACGGGATTTTCCAGGCAAGGATACTGGAGTGGATTGCCACGTCCTCCTCCTGGGAATCTCCCCGACCCAGGGGTCAAACCCGCATCTCCTGAGTCTCCTGCATTTGCAAGTGGATTCTTTTCCACTGAGCTACCAGGGAAGCCCCATCTCTTGGGAGAGGAAAAACCTCAGAGATAGTCACACAGAGTTTCTAACAGTGTTTCTCAGATGCTAAACTGAATTAATGCTGGGATGCAAAAAGATAGTCAGCAGCTTCAATTCTGTTCCAAAAAGGTCCAGGTGATGCTGTGGCTCCCCTGCTGAACACTCTCCAAAGACTCCCCCTCCCCCAGCTCCTGCCACCATCACCCCACTGACCCAGCTGGTGCACCCTGCCCCTCACTCAGCCCAGCACCACCTTTACTGCTCCTGGGACCAGCTAGACTGCTCAGGGCCTGGCAGGACACAGAGGGCACGCTCCCAACGGTTAAATGAGGATCTTTTAATGAAGGATTCTCAGGATGAAGGCAATTAGTGAGGAAAGTGAGGCAGCCGGAGCCAGGCAACCAAGAGCAGCCGGTACCATCCTCGGGTGGAAAGCACGCAGTGGGGAGCAAGGAACTGCGGCTGGAGGACGCAGCCCTGGATGGAAGAACGAAGGCCCTGCCGATCCATGGCCCAGCAAGCTTCCTCCTGCTCGCAGTCCCTGTGGGTGCCTCCCAAGGACTGAGTCAGCTGGAAGCCAGTAGGAAGTAAGCTCCGACGGCTCGGTGCCCAGAGGCCAGTTTCCCACACTGACCAGACGGGAAGGGCAGAGGAGGCCCCAGAGGGCAGGCATAGGCCAGGGGGGCCTCCCAGCTCTGCTGCTCTGCCTGCTGGAATCTCTATCTGCGAGACTTGGCTACGCGGGTTCCTTTGGCTGCTGCCGTAGCTCACCTCGCATGTTAGCTCCTCCTGGGATCGTCAATCCAGAGCCCCTGAGACCTTCCCCTAGTCCTTGTGTCAAGTCAACCATCTCGTATGTTCAGAGCAGTGCTCAGCATCTGCTTTTATGTACTCTGTTAGTGAACTAGCCAACAATACTTCTTGATCTTTTTTGCATCCTGGCCTAATAACCTGTAGGAGGGCAGGTGCTTTATCTTCCCTGTTTGCCAATAACACAGCTCTAGGACAGCCCCGGGACACACCGTGAACAGTGCCCTTATTCCTGTCTTTGCTCGCCGGGACAGTGCTGGGCACACAGCCAGCACTCGGTGGGTAGATGTTGAAAGGATAACATTTTTCGGGCACCTTCCATGTACTAGGTACTGAGGTGGCTACAAAAACAACAGCTTTTATGGTAGCTATCATGGCTACCATAGCTTTTCTCTGTTTCAGATACTTTTATGACCCCCCCAACCCCACTTCACAGATGGGAAATGAGCCACACTGCTGGGACATGGGGGATCCAGGATTTGAGCCCTGGGAGTCTGGCTCCAGAGCAGACATTCCTAAGCGCTAATACTCTATAATGCCTCTCTACAGATGACTTAGGCACGAACTAGACTTTATGGAGCTGGCTAGTTGGGGAAAGGCCGACATGTAATCAGCTCTCTTAAATTCAGGCCTGGGGTATTAGTGTGATAACCGCGGTGGGTGGGAGTTCATGGCTTCGTAATCCAAAGTGTGGATACACAGCAGAAATGCTTCCAGTGGGTAAGAATGAGGGTGGAGGGGCGTGAGATGATTTGTACAGCTGATAACATCTACAGGAATTGCTGTTACGGTATCGGCAGCAAAGAAGACACATGATGCTCCAAAATCTGAATCCCTCAAACGATACACAGTGAAATTGCCCACGCTGTGGTCCGCCTTCCACTGCCAGAGTCAGGCTCAGCTGGCAGCTTACTACTGCCTTTCTTTGCTAGCAGCTGTTTCTAACTAGGCTATTTTGTTCCGCTATGTGGATGCTCAAAATATATTTTATTTCAGGATCTGCCCTGGAAAGAGACAACAATGTGAATGGCCCAGTAACTTTCAATACAATCTGCCATAACTATCATGAGAGAGCATTTGACACACCTTCAAAAAGGTGGAAGACAGGGTAACGGAGACGTGAAGGTTTGTAGGAGGCAGTTACCGTGAGCTTTAAACCAAAGAGACGAAGAGATTATTTCCAACCTTCTCTACAAGGAAAACATTTTCCACATGATAACCATGCTTCAGTGGTTGTTAACATTTTCAAAAGAAATTGTACCAGTGCCAGCAACTGAAGCAAGGCAAACACAGATTCAAAAAGAAAATAAGAAAAGATCCTGGATTCAGCAGGCAATCCGAGCAGGAAAAGGTTTTCTTGAGGTCTCTGCCAAGGCTGCCTCCCTGGCAGCAAGCAAATGCCCAGGAGGTGGTTTCCAAGGGGCACCTGGAAGGGATGCAGCCCTCTCTCTCTCTCAGCTGGAGGAAAGGGGGCCTGGCTCCCAGCATTCGCAGTGTCCCTCTGGGTCCTTGGTCTGCAGGAATCCTCCCATTAAACGTCACTATTTGGGAGAAAGAATACGCTGGAAATAACTAACTTCCCAGGAGAGCTGAGAGGCAGTGAAGACAGCGCTGAGCACACACATCCTGGCTTTGAATTCTATCTTGGCCGCTCACTGGCTGGTGACCCTGGGCGAGTCACTTCACCTCTGTGCCAGGGTCTGCTTCTGTGAGAGGAGGATAATTACAGGGTCGTTTGGAGTCAATACTGGTGAACTGCTGGCTGGCTCTCTCTGTGTAAAATAAATATTCGAGTCCTTTACAAAAGGAGCCAGAACACAGAGGGGCTGGGAGGAAATGCGGGAAAGAGAAGCGGGGCATTGGCGGGGTGGGGCAAGGGGACCCCGAGCAGGTGGAGGGCAGGAGACAGATCACCGTGGAGACGAGAGGCCATGGGTGAGTCTGCTGCGCTCCCTGGCCTCACTGCTGCCAGCCCCCACCCGTCTTGCAGTTCACACCCCTCTAGCCTCTCATCACCTCACTCATCACTGCAGCTATCCTCCAGTCCCTCCAGTGCTGCCGGGTGACCCTTGCCACCTCACGGCCTTACCCATGCTGTTCCCTCCACCCCGAATGTCACCCTACCCCCTGCACTTAGAGAACTACCAGTCTTCCTCTGAGCTCAGCTCAAATCACACATTCTCAGGGCACTTCCCTGACCCATTTCCCTTCAAAATTTGAGGCTCTCAGAAGTGACTCTAGTTCTTTATGACACTTTATACAAGTGGAGTTAAGTACTGATGTGCTTGGAGTCTGTCTCCTTGAATGGGAGCATACATTTCTGTTCACTCCTCCACTCCCAGATCAACAAGTATTTGCAGGGTACACAGAATGAATGAAGCTTAGCATCTGGATACCAGGTTATGCTGACGGCTGGACCTTCTCACTAACATAAGAAGGAGAAAAAACATCTCCCTGCTGTGTCCTGGTGATCAGTGCCAGAAAACTGAGGGGGAACATTTCCATTGCCTACAAATTTCAACTGAATCAAAATTAGGCATCTGCAGTAGTTAACACCAAACTTGTTCAATTCATTCTAGCTTCCCTTGTCCTACCAAATGCTGTTAAAAGAAATATATTAGTTCAAGATTATGGAGAAAACTGTTCTGCAGTCCACCAAGAGGCTGACCACTATTAACACCAGAGCAGAATGCTTCAGAATGCTCCAAAAGTGGTGCTGATTGCTAAGGTGAGAGGGCTCTAAGTACGAATAAAGTGGACCAGTTATTTTATTTGGTCTAAAATGGCATCCGGTTTTTTTCTAAACAAATAAAATGAGTCAAAGTTTTTCAAACACAGTCTTTAAAAATGTCTTGTGCTCTGGAGTGGGAATGCAAAATGGTGTAGCCGCCATAGAAAACAGTACAGGTACCTCAAAGAATTACAAGTGGAACTATGATGTGACCCAGCAGGTCCCTCCTCTGGGTATTTATTCAAAACATTTGAAATCACTAATATCTCAAAGAGATACTAGTGCTTTCATGTTCACTGTAGCACTATCACAACAGCCAAGAGGTAGAGACAAACAAAATGTCCATCGATTGATAAATGGATAAAGAAAATGTGGCATATACATACAATGGACTGTTATTCAGCTGTATAAAAAAGAAGGAAATGCTATCATATACGACAACATGGATGAACCTTGAGGATATTATGCTGAGTTAAATAGGCCAGAAAGACAAATACACTATGATTCCACTTATATAAGGCATCTAGAATAGTCCTTTCAAACAGTGAAATTCAAGGGCTGGAGGGGGAGGAAAACAGGGAGTCACTACTCAATGAGTTTAAAGGTTCAATTAAGGAAGATGAATAAGCTGTAGGGATCTGCTGTACACTGTTGGGCCTTGAGTCAACAAAGCTACATCATACACTTAAAAATGTGTTAAGAGGGCAGACATGGTAAGTGTCCTTACAATGAAAGAATTAAATTTTAAAAGTACAATAATAAAAGTTATGACAAGAAAGGTAACAATGTGAACCAGGTCAAAGAGGGATATGGGAGTCGTCTCCTGCTGAACCTATTGACCACAGTGGGGCTCGCACGCGCCCCATCCTCCGCCTCTGAGCTGGGTGAGCACTCATCCTTGGCTCTTTAGACTTAACATCTCATGGCACCCAGAGAGCCAGCCAGTAGTTACTATGCTGTGTCCCACAGGAGGGATGTAGGGTTGTAAAGTCCCAACTATCTTAAGCAACAAAGCCTCCTACAAATGTTTCAGGCAGGATAGGCTCTGGGGTAGCACAGACTTCCCAGCTCTGCTTCTCAGCAGCAGTGCAACCCTAGGCAAGCCTCCCAGGTCCTGCCTTGCAGGATCCTAGAGACTGGATATTGACAAAGGGAGCTATCATGGCACGAGGCACCTAGTAAGAAGTCCCAAACTGTGGCTAGAACCATCTAAACATCTTGAGAAATCTTGGCAAAAGCCAGAGCACTATCAGGAACAATGAAGTCTGGCAGGGGTGGGGTTACCTGAATGCCTAAGGAACAGGTAAGCAATAGGAAAGGATTTAATGGACCCAGAGGCGCTCAGGGACCTGGAGAGAATATACGTGCCCCCCTAGGACAGGCAGCTGCTCTCCAGCTGAGGACAACTGGCCAGGCGGGGAATGCGGGCCTCATAGAGCTGGACCTGATTTTTTTCCCAAGGAACTGGAAATCTGGGTTTCTCTGTGATCTACAAATTTTAAATGGGGGTAATTCGTTCCAAATGTTTTCCATCATGATGCAGCCAACAAGTGTGTCTCCAGGCTAGATTCCACCCACTGGTCATCAGTTTGTGATCCCAGGGACCAAGCTTCTGGTTCATGAAGCACTTTCACAGCGATCTTTTCAGTTGACCCTCACAGCGGCCCTGCTAGGTGTGTATCTGGATGGTATTTTAGAAAGGTGACAACGGAGATTCTGAAAGTTACAAAACTTTCTCAAGGCCACAAGGCTGTTGAGTCATTGGGTCAGGACTAACACAAGTTTTGACTCCAAGCACAAGGCTCCAGTGATTTTTAACAGAGAAAACCCCATATGCAGAAGGAAAAGGTAACCCAATTAATCAATAAACAATGACACTGATCCACTTCCTCATTAAAAATCCCAATTTTATCACCTGACAAATAACTAGAATATCAAAAAACGAGAGAGACTGATTATAAACTACTAAGGATACCAGAACACACTGAAGTTGAGCATCAAACCTGCCTCCTGAACATCCCAGGCTCTCTTCAGAGAATTTGGGATTTGAACTTGGAAAGCTGGGAGCAGCTCAGTTTCTGTCCTCTCAGCTTCACTGAGATGATTCACACACCCAACAATTCACCCACTTAAAACGCACAATTCGTTGGTTGTTCGTATATTCACAGAGTTCATATATTCACAATCATCATCACAATTTTAGAACATTTTCATCACCCCAAAATAACCCCATACCTGTGGGAGCTAAATGCTTCATGACCTGAGACCAGAGGGACGTTTCTTAAAGTGTGGTCCTAGGACCACCTATACTTGACTCAAGGGAGCTTTCAAAAATGCTGATTCCAGGGCCCATCTCACCTACTGAGTGAGACTCTCAGTACGGAAGTGGGGATGGGACAAAGCAAGACTGTATTTTAAAAAGCATCCATGGTTCCTATACACATTTGGCTTCACCACGAGTCAACCCATTTTGTGCCTGGACTTTGTTATGACCTGGTGAAGCCTTCACACAACTCAGAGTTCTATTTCTAATGCAGAAAATAAAATACATAAGACCACAAAGGAAATCAATTATGCTAAAATACAGTTGTCAAAATACTTTTTCCGTGTATTTGCTATACTGTAATATTACTTCTTGGTGAATACACTTAAATAACAGACCTAGTCAGTGGGCCTAATAACTATTGCACTTGTGAAGCAAGGAAACATGTAGATAATCTTCTGAAGTATCTCTCACACCTGAAATGTGATATAAACATACTGCTGATTATGTTGATAACAAAGTCCCAGTTACTAGAACTGGTACTGTGGCTCATTGCCTGTGGTTTGTAATGAAGCGAAAGGCTAAATTTCACTGAGGTTTGTGAAAAGAAAGGGTCTTTTTTTTCCTCTCATCTGAATTCATGGTTGCCCTGCCAGATCCCCATGGGTTAGGCAGATCCCAAGTTAAGAAATGCAACTAGGGTGAGGGCCCTAATGCTGGATCCTGGGAGTGGCGCTGATTCCTTCCAGCCCAAACCTGACTACTCACCCCCTATATTCCACAAGAAACCCCAGCATCTTCCAACAATAGCCCTTTGACTTTCACTATCTTGTTGTGTATTCTGGTATCTGCCATCAAAATAACATCACCATTACCTCTTCAAGTGCTTACTAGGTACTAAGGCACTGTTTGGAGAAGGGAGATGGTAACCCACTCCAGCATTCTTGCCTGGAGAATCCCCATGGATAGAGGAGCCTGGCAGGCTGCAGTCCATGGTGTCACCAAGAGCTGGACATGACATAGAGATTAAGCACAGCATGAGGCACTGTTCTAACCACCTACGTATATCTGCTCACTTAATCCTCAGCACAACCTAGACATGTAGATACTATTATTATGCCCATTTTGTAAATGAGGAAACTGCAGCCTGGTGATGTTATGCAATCACCTGAAACTACAGAGTTGGAAGGAAAGGAAGGGATTTTACCCTAGGTGTCTTGGTCCAGTGGCTTGAGCCCTCAACAAGTGGTACCTCCTTTGCCATATAGAGAGCCCTGACACAGATGAACAGAAATGCATCGAGAAATTCAAATTATCTGACTACAAAACCAACAAAGATATAGACAGAACATCTCTGCACTTCTAAGGCAAAGAATGTATATAAAACAGGTCAAAGAAAGACATCCCCTACAGGTCTTCTGGGGAAACGTACCGGAACTATTAATAATGTTGAAAAGAAATTGCAGAGGAATTCCAGAAGGAATGATTCTGAGGGCCGCATCTTTCCATCAATATTAATCATCTTGGGAACTTCTGGAACAAGGCTTATGGCGGCTTTGAAAAAGGCATCAGCTGCAAGACAGAAGAGAAGTTCACATATGAGAATGTCGAAAAATTCAGGGTCTGCCTTCTTCTTCACACAGCCCAGAAGTCAAGCCCGAGAGGTGTGTGGAAGTCAGGCCACACTGAGGGCCCAAGACGGCTGGCGGGTCCTCAAAGAGGGCTTCTGCACCATAACTGACTCAGTGGAACATGTGGGCGAGAGGCGCTGCGGCTGCCTCCCAGCTCTTCTCTTCTCCTCCTTCCTTCTCGGGGCAATTTGGTTCCAAGAACCTCAGTCAAACTGGCTTTAGACAGTAAGTGAAAAAAGCACATGGTAGGTAAATTATCACAGAGAGTACAGAAGTCAGTTGCTGGGATTGAAGGCTCCATCTGAACTGGCTCGGTGAACCCTCCTGTCCAGCCCAGGAGGAAAGTGCTGTCCAAGGGCCCACTCCACAGCTGCGGAAAGAGATGTGCCTGGTCCTACAACAGAGCCAGTATGTGCAGGAGGGTCCAGCCGTGGTGGTGGAGCCCGGGTCAAGCTCTGGTTTGTCTGAATCTACTCTAATGCACATGTATTTGTTAAAGAAACAACAATGGAAATGTCTGAAGCAAAGTGTATGTGTGTGTGCGCACACGCACGCGCACACACAGCTTTAAAGACTTCTGATTAGGTGACAGTTCCAGGGCATCATCTGGAAAATGAAAGCATTTTAAGAAATAGGTAACAGTCTGTAAACCAAGAAGACCTCCAAGGGTGAGAGCAAGGAAGGAAGGGGAGGCGGGAAGAGAGGAGGAGGAATAAAGAGGAAGTGGGGTGCTGAGAAAGAGGGAGCGACAGGAGGACACAGAGAGGGAGGAACGGGGTGAAGGGGGAGGACTGGAGCTGTGGGGTGGGGGGGGGTGAGATGGAGAGGAAGAGAGAGAGTTCCTTCTAGAACTGCCAAAGTATTAACCATGAGAAAGAGCCTCAGGGTCAAAACAGACAGAACACTGACCCGACAAATGAAATTTTAAACTACCCGACAAGATCAAACGTTTGCATGGTCCAAATACACTTCCACTCTGAAATGGCCCGCAGTGATGCAGAACAGCTCTCTGGCCCGGCAGCACCCTGAGTTCAAACTGGAGCCCCGCCAGGGCAGCAGAGGGGCAGATGCAATGATGAACGCCCAGGTTGGCCAGGGACAGAGGCCAGCCCTTAATGAGAAGAGTCTGCGTCTGAAGCTGGAGAGTGGGGTTTTGTCTTCTCTTCCTTCTTCCAAAGGAAAAAAAAATCACACTATGGAAAGCACCAGGTTTACTACATGAAGTTCCCTCTGCTCCAGAAGCTTGCCTCCCATGCTGCTTCTGGGACCCCACAGTGGCACCCTTACCACGTTCACTGATACAGAGGGGTCAAGAGTTGACAACATGAAGTGTTGAGCCCAATGTGATCACACTCATTAACACCTATCCGCTGGGAACCTGCTCTGTGCTCCGCTCTAAGGGGGAGGTGGAGCAGCTGATCTCATCTTAATATAGGGGTTCTGGTAGATGAACCTCCCAGAAAGAGTCAGAAGCTGCAGGATCTTCTGTCTTGGCCTCCAGACAGTAGTAAGTGGCACTATTTATGGAAACCAGAGGAACTCCTAGGCCGTGTCTTAAGGCAACTTATATTCTCAGTCCTCAAGCAGGCCTATGGGGAAGGTACAATTATTTCCACGCCCACATGACAAGCCAAGCTCAAAAAGTGAGTGGCCAAGTGAAAGTAGCCCATGGATGGTAAAATACTGAGCTGAGCAGAATTTAAAGGCCATCACTAGCACTAGCTCTGAGCGACACAATCAGATTTGTGTTTTTTAACAGAAACACAAGTCTGCAAATGATAGCTGTTATAAAGAGTTTATTATATCCGGAACACAAAAAGAAAGTCTACAACAATGAAGAAACAAGTAACCTGACTGAAGGTTACCCTGAATAGATATTTTTTCCAAAGAAAATACACGAGTGGTCATCAAGCATATGAAAAGATGCTCAAATCATTCATCACAAGAAGCGCAAATCAAAAACCCAGTGAGATATTACCTCACACCCAGGAGCATGCCCACTCTGACAAAAAACAAAAACAAAAGTGAAAGCCAGGCAATAACAAGTGTTGGCAAAGAAACTGAAGTACTACTGGTGGGAATCTGAACTGGTGCAGTTGCTGTGGAAAATAGTCTGGTGGTTCCTCAAAAAGGTAAACATAGAATTACCATCTACTAGCAATGCCACTTCTAGCTGTCTACCCCAAAGAAATGAAAGCAGGGACTCAAACAGATGTTTATACATGAATGATCATAGCAGCAATATTCACAAGAGTCAAAAGGTGGAAACTATGCAATGAACACATAAACAAAACACAGTACGTGTGTGTGCGTGCTAAGTCACTTCAGTCACGTCTGACTCTGCAACCCTACATACTGTATGTAGCCCGCCAGGCTCCTCTGTCCATGGGATTCTCTAGGCAAGAATACTGGAGTGGGTTGCCATGTCCTCCTCCAGGGGATCTTTCCGATTCAGGTATAGAACTCGAGTCTCTTAATGTTTCCTGCATTGGCTGGCAGGTTCTTTACCACTAGTGCCACATGCGAAGCCCAACAAAACATGGTACATATACACAAAGGGGTATTACAAGGCCTTAAAAAGGAAGGAAATTCTTACATGTGCTAGAAATACAGACAAAGTTTGAAAATGTTCCAAATTGGGAAAGGAGTATGTCAAGGCTGTATATTGTCACCCTGCTTATTTAACTTATATGCAGAGTACATCATGAGAAATGCCAGGCTGGACTATGGTTTTTCCAGTAGTCATGTATGGATGTGAGAGTTGGACCATAAAGAAAGCTGAGCACCGAAGAATTGACGCTTTTGAACTGTGGTGTTGGAGAAGACTCTTGAGAGTCCCTTGGGCAGCAAGGAGATCAAACTAGTCAATCCTGAAAAAATCAGTCCTGAATATTCATTGGAAAGGCTGATGCTGAAGCTGAAGCTGAAGCTCCAATACTTTGGCCACCTGATGCGAAGAACCGACTCATTATAAAAGACTCTGATGCTGGGAAAGATTGAAGGCAGGAGGAGAAGGGGACGACAGAGGATGAAATGGTTGGATGGCATCACCGACTCAGTGGTGAGCTTGAGCAAGCTCCAGGAGTTGGTGATGGACAGGTGTGCTGCAGTCCATGGGGTCGCCAAGAGTTGGACGCAACTGAGTGACTGAACTGAACTGAAATGAAATAGGTCAGACGAAAGGACGAACAGTATCTGATTTCACTTGTATGAAGTATTCGGAGTGGTCAAATTCAGAGAGATAAAGAACGGGAAGGAGGGAACAGAGTTATCACTTAACGGGTGCAGAGTTTCATTCTCTTTGGGATGATGAAATAGTTCTGGAAACAGATAGTGGTGATGGTTGCACAGGGTTGTCAGTGTACTTAAAGCCACTGAATTGTACACTCAAAAATGGTTACAATGGTAAATTTCATGTTGTGTGAACTTAACCACAATACAAAAATAAAGAAAAAGAGCTGAGCCTGCCCTTGACATTACCCCCACAAGAGCACAGGCAGGCCTGGACTCCACCACGTCTGGCATTTTCCTCCTGGCTCCACAGGCACTGCTTTCCAGTGAGGACATTAAGTCCATCAGAAAACAAGGTGAAGAGCTTCTCTTGGCAGGAACTAAAATTCTGCTCAGAACAACTTGAAAGACTATTTATTCTATTTATGTGCTTGTTACCAAGGGGCCCTGAGAAAAGTGCCTGTTATTATGGCTCATTAAAGAGGGAGCCGCTATGTGCTGGGGGCTCTGCTCCTCACAGTCGCCCCACTGAAGCCCCATCCAGAGGAGGGAGCTACAAGAAACAGTTACTTAAGGGTTGAGGCAGGAAATGTTCCAAAGCAGATGTCTAACCTCAGAAGACTTGCCCTATATATAAGTCTTGTCTAGGAGACTTCTTAATTTTGTCTTAGTAATTAGAACTCAAATGCTACTGAGTATGAAAACACTTTTTCCTCATAGTCTAGAGTTCAGAATAATCATAATATAACATTTTAAAAAACTGAAGTTTGTTTATAACATTATGTAAGTTTCATGTATACAACATTATTTCTATATAACCTACAGCACATAGTAACACTTGACTTATTGTGGCTATTAAGAGTCAGAGAAGACAATTAAAGATAAAATGGGTTAAATTTTTTTTTTTAAGACGTCTAGGAAAAGGAGAAATCAGATTCCAATTCATAAAGACAATTACCCTTGTTCTCCTGGGGGAAGAGAAAGCATGTATTGGGTTGGCCAAAAGATTCATTCGGGTTTTTTCCATAAGATCTTACAGAAAAATTCAAACAAACTTTTTGGCCAACCAAATATATACACTGGCTCCCCCATCCATGCCTTTCTCCATCTCAATCTTCTGAGGTTTCAAGGGATAGCTAGATTTCTTTTCCATATTTCATCTTCAAAAAACAATTAAAGAAAAAAAAAAAAAAGACTCAAGCCTGGCTGATCTCACCCCAGAGTTCTTTCTGTTTGAGATCCTTTTTCTTGGGGTGCTGACTGCCCTGCAGACAGGCATTCTGCTGCAATTCTCTGCACAGTCATCAACATGTCCTTCAAGCGCTGCGGGGCACTGCTGGAGGACAAACACAGCCACTGTCCCTTCAGTCACAGGAAGAGGGACCGTGCTGCTCTCAGAGGTGGTGTTTTCCAAAACTGCTTGATCATAAGAATCAAGATCCTTGTAAAAAAAAAAAAAAAAATACAGCTCCCAGGCCCCCCAAACATCCATCTGCAAACTGAGGGGAATGGAACGTGGTAAAGCCACTTTGCAAAATAATTTGGTGGTTCCTCCAGTTCTACATGAATGCTGCATATATATGGACATACACACTACCATGTGAATGACTCTTGAAAATCATCATGCTAAATGAATGGAGCTAGTCATAAAAGTCTGCATTGTACGACTCTATTTATATGAAATGACTGGAATGAGCAAATCCATCAAAA